TATTAGGGATGTAACGATACCCTCATGTCACGATTCGATACATATCACGATACGATGTTATTACGACATTTTAAAATTGTTTACTATTTATTAAAATGCTAAATTTGGTTTTACATTGGGGGTGTAAATGAATAGGCTGGTAATCCAACAATGCACAGGACAATGGTGACACCAGAATATAAATATTCATGATTCTGAAGCTGAAAACAGAATTATTTTAGACGAATGCTTGCACTTTGTCACTGACTAGATATATTAAAAATAAAACTTTTTACTGGTAACATAAGACATTTGGCATTATCAGGACCCACAAATATTCCCCCATTGCATTATTATTAACATTAGTAGTTTAATGTAGTACTTTTTATTTCAGGTGAACTATCCATGATACATTGTCACCATCCACGATACATATTGATGCATTTTTGTATTGCGATATATTGTGACACGATATATTGTTACACCCCTAATTATTATTAATTTCTCCCCTCTGTCACTGGGACTGCTGGGAAGTGTGGTAAGAGCTGGTGAAGTCTGTTTTGCATGTTTTTTATTTGTATGTGAATTTGTTCTATTCGGTCTGTTCTATTCGGAGTCAGAATGACACAAGGCTGAATAAATTATGACAAAATGTATTAATACATAATTTGGTGAAATATTCCCCCAAGCTCTTGTTTTCTGTCACAGTGACGCCATATTGAAGTATCTGGCGACAGCCTATAATGTCCCTGATCACTGGTACCCCAAACTGCCAGAGAAGAGAGCGCGAGTGGATGAATACACAGCCTGGAATCATGCAAATACAAGCACGCACATTTCCTCAGTCTTCCTGCATGAGGTATATGGTTTGATATGTGGCCAGTTGACATGATATCCCCTTAACTGTCACCGTCCCGCTACCGGGACGCCTAAGTTTACTTCACTATATTACTATTAAATCCTAATATAATCATGACAAACTATATATCGTTGGAAAGGTCTAGGACCCTAAATAGATATTTCACCACTGTTTTTTGTTACAAATTATGTAGGAACAAAAATAGATTAATTTATGACAAGAGTGCTTTTCAAAAAATCTACATATAACAGGAGTTATGGCCTTTGTCACAAAAAGTCGACACACACACTTTTAATAATTGAAAGTTTGGTTTTCATGCTTACATTTTACAACAAAACATATAAACTAGTATTTGTCCATAAAAAAATAATATTAATTAATTAAATAATATTATCCTCTAAAAAGTATTATATACACTCACCGGCCACTTTATAAGGTACACCTGTCCAACTGCTCGTTAACACTTAATTTCTAAGCAGCCAATCACATGGCGGCAACTCAGTGCATTTAGGCATGTAGACATGGTCAAGACAATCTCCTGCAGTTCAAACCGAGCATCAGTATGGGGAAGAAAGGTGATTTGAGTGACTTTGAACGTGGCATGATTGTTGGTGCCAGAAGGGCTGGTCTGAGTATTTCAGAAACTGCTAATCTACTGGGATTTTCACGCACAACCATCTCTAGGGTTTACAGAGAATGGTCCGAAAAAGAAAAAACATCCAGTGAGCGGCAGTTCTGTGGGCGGAAATGCCTTGTTGATGCCAGAGGTCAGAGGAGAATGGCCAGACTGGTTCGAGCTGATAGAAGGGCAACAGTGACTGAAATAACCACTCGTTACAACCGAGGTATGCAGCAAAGCATTTGTGAAGCCACAACACGCACAACCTTGAGGCGGATGGGCTACAACAGCAGAAGACTCCACCGGGTACCACTCATCTCCACTACAAATAGGAAAAAGAGGCTACAATTTGCAAGAGCTCACCAAAATTGAACAGTTGAAGACTGGAAAAATGTTGCCTGGTCTGATGAGTCTCGATTTCTGTTGAGACATTCAGATGTTAGAGTCAGAATTTGGCGTAAACAGAATGAGAAAATGGAACCATCATGCCTTGTTACCACTGTGCAGGCTGGTGGTGGTGGTGTAATGGTGTGGGGGATGTTTTCCTGGCACACTTTAGGCCCCTTAGTGCCAATTGGGCATCGTTTAAATGCCACGGCCTACCTGAGCATTGTTTCTGACCATGTCCATCCCTTTATGGCCACCATGTACCCATCCTCTGATGGCTACTTCCACCATGTCACAAAGCTCTAATCATTTCAAATTGGTTTCTTGAACATGACAATGAGTTCACTGTACTAAAATGGCCTCCACAGTCACCAGATCTCAACCCAATAGAGCATCTTTGGGATGTGGTGGTACGGGAGATTCGCATCATGGATGTGCAGCCGACAAATCTGCGGCAACTGTGTGATGCCATCATGTCAATATGGACCAAACTCCCTGAGGAATGCTTCCAGCACCTTGTTGAATCTATGCCACGAAGAATTGAGGCAGTTCTGAAGGCAAAAGGGGGTCCAACCCGTTACTAGCATGGGGTACCTAATAAAGTGGCCGGTGAGTGTATATACGTATATATATATATATGTGATGAGGTTCAGTGTTTGAGGAAGGAAGAAGACAGGGGTCAGCGTGACTGGGACTCGTGATTTATTTATAGAACAAAGAAAAACAAGAGAGGCACGCTAAAGCGCATTTACCGTGTCACTTACGTGACACAGCACAACATCAAACAGAATCAAAAACAGAATCAAACAGACGGCGTTTCTCGGCTCTGCACGCAAGTTCCCAGTCCAGCTCTCTCTCTCTCTCGCTCGTTCCCGCTGGCTTTTATCCAGTCTCTCCGCGCCAATCACTGCAATCAGACACAGACCGGGGGGGAGGAGGCGCCCGTCCGGGTCTTGCCACCACTCTTTTTTTTTCCCATGCCTCGGTTTGTGTTGGTCGGCCCCGAAACAAAAACACTCAAGTGTACAACTCTTAGATCAAATGCCTCGGGTCCGCCCCGGCGGACCTGAACCCCCCTTCGGTGAAAAACGAGTGGCGAGAGTTGCAACCCTGACGGGTACCCGTAGGCTCCGGAAGGAGACCGTTCGGACTGTTACGAACACATCAGGTCGTCTACGAGTCATTTAGCACCGGGTTCTCCACAAACTTGAGGTGCGATAAGGGGGAGAGGGGCGACGCTCTTTCGGCCGACCCCCGGTTACGGACGGCCTTCCTCGCCAGCCCCTGGGGGAGCCGGCTATCCGGGACAAACAAAGTCCCGCGGCGCTGCGGTATCGTTCCTTCTAGGTGGGATTCTGACTTAGAGGCGTTCAGTCATCCCGCAGATGGTAGCTTCGCACCAGTGGCTCCTCAGCCAAGCACACGCACCAAATGTCTGAACCTGCGGTTCCTCTCGTACTGAGCAGGATTACTATTGCAATGACACGGACATCAGTAGGGTAAAACTGACCTGTCTCACGACGGTCTAACGATCTGTAGGAGAAAGGGGAGAGAAAAGTTAGGAGCATGCAAGAGCAGTCCGCCACATAGAGCAGCCTTTATCTGAGTTAAAGCCCGCTGGCACTGCTCCGTCCACTGGACCGTATCTGGTACCTCCTTTTTAGTTAGATCAGTCAGCGGGCTGGCGAGGTCCGAAAAATTAGGCACAAACCTTCTATAATATCCCGCCAGCACCAGGAACTGTCTAACCTCCTTTTTGGTCTTGGGCCTTGGACAGGTTGCAACTGGTTCCGTCTTGTCAATTTGGGGACGCACCTGTCCATGACCCAAGTGGAAGCCCAGATATCTCACTTCCACACGCCCAACTGCACACTTCTTCGGGTTGGTCGTGAGCCCGGCTCTTCTCAGCGTCTTCAGGACAGCCCGCAAATGCTGCATATGACGCTGGCAGTTGTTACTGTAGATGATGATATCATCCAAGTAGGCAGCAGCAGCGTGCGGCCGGAGAATTCTGTCCATCAGATGCTGAAAGGTTGCTGGAGCCCTGAACAAGCTGAAAGGAAGGGTGACGAATTTGTGTAATCCAAACGGCGTTGTGAAAGCTGTTTTTTCTTTAGACATGGGAGACAAGGGGATCTGCCAATATCCCTTTGTTAAATCCAGTGTCGAATAAAAGTGAGCAGTACCCAGCCGATCAAGCAATTCGTCAACCCGTTGCATTGGATAAGCGTCAAATTTCGACACAGCGTTCACCTTGCGGTAGTCCACACAGAATCGGACCGAGCCGTCGGTTTTAGGTACCAAAACTATCGTGCTCGCCCAGTCACTGTTGGACTCTTCCATGTCTAGCATTGCCTCTAATTTGCTCTGAACCACCTTTTTTGTGTGTTCAGGCAAGCGATACGGCCGGCTGCGAACGACCACGCCCGGCTCTGTCTCAATGTGGTGCTGAATGAGATCCGTCCGACCAGGTAGGGGTGAGAACACATCAGCAAATTCAGCTTGTAAATTCTTGACATCAGTGAGCTGGGAGGGTGAGAGGTGGTCTCCTCCAGGGGCCAGGGCGAGAGATTGAGGTTTTAGGCACGCCTCTGGCCCGAGATCATCCTCTCCACTCACCACCGTCGCCAGCATCACTGATTCGGCCTCACTCCACTTTTTCAGGAGGTTGAGGTGATATATTTGATGTGCCCCGCCCCTATCTGTTCGGATTACCTCAGTTGAGATTAGTTGAGATCTCCAACTCGCCGTGTGACCTCGAAGGGCCCTTGCCACTTTGCGAGTAATTTCGAAGTAGAAGTAGGGAGTAACACAAGCACTTTATCTCCCGGTGCAAATTGACGAAGTCTAGTTCCCCGGTTGTACAGCCGATTCTGTTTGTCCTGGGCCTGTAACAAATTCTCCATTGATAGCTGCCCCAAAGTGTGGAGTTTTGTTCTCAGGTCCAGGACATATTGAATTTCGTTCTTGCTAGTCGAAGGCCCGTCCTCCCAAGTTTCCCTAAGGATGTCTAACACCCCACGGGGCTGACGTCCGTAGAGAAGCTTGAAAGGAGGAAACCCCGTGGAGGCTTGGGGGACCTCGCGTACAGCGAACAAGAGGGGTTCTAGCTACTTATCCCAATTTTTGGCATCTTCCCGTACAAACTTTCGAATCATGGATTTCAACGTGCGATTAAATCGTTCCACCAGGCCGTCTGTTTGTGGGTGATAGACGCTGGTGCGAATCGATTTAATACCCAACAATTCGTAAAGTTCGCGAATGGTTCGTGACATAAATGCCGTGCCCTGATCAGTGAGAATCTCTTTCGGGATTCCCACCCAGGAGATTAACTGAAACAGTGCGCCCGCGATGCTTTTAGCGGAAATACGGAGCGGCACTGCTTCAGGGTATCGCGTTGCGTAATCTACCATGACTAAAGCAAAGCGATGCCCACATGCAGACCGTTCTAATGGCCCGATGAGGTCCATACCAATTCGTTCGAAGGGGACCTGCATTAATGGGAGGGGGCACAAAGGTGCTTTTCGGTTGCCCGGTGGATTCACCAACTGACATTCACGACAAGACGCGCACCACTTGGGGAGGACGGAATCAAACAGACGGCGTTTCTCGGCTCAGCACGCGAGTTCCCAGTCCAGCTCTCTCTCTCTCTCTCTCTCTCTCTCTCTCTCGTTCCCGCTGGCTTTTATCCAGTCTCTCCGCTCCAATCACTGCAATCAGACACAGGTGTTACTTACCGCTCGGCTCCCGCCTCTCTCTCCCGCTACAGACTTCGCTGAACCAAGCCCCCCTCGCCACAATATATATATAATCCTCTAAAATATAATATTACCTTTTTTATCGCCTTTTTTTTACATCACATATTTCAGTAGTTGTCATAAATTAGGTATCATTCGAAAGCTTACAAACTCAGAATTCATCCTGTGAAAACCGTTTTGAAATTGGACGTTGTGTTACCATAGAAACCGTACTCTAAATTATTTTATCGGGCTCCTCCCCTTTTGGGTGTCGTCATGTTTCATAATTTATGATCAAAACCTTTTCTAATCTTGACAAAACACATATTGTCAGAAAGATCTGAGTCTCAAGGTTCCATATTTTGTGACAGAAGTGATATATGGACAGAAATGTATTAATTTGTTATGGCAGAATGCATACAATTAAATTCAATGAAATGTATGTCACCCGGTGGCTATTTTTGGTATTAGGCCTAAACAAATTTTTGTGATATCAACTTTAAATTTGGAACACAACTTGGTTAGATATATGACTTTGATTTTATAGTAATTTTAGAGTAAAAAATATTTTGTAAAATACATATTTTATAAAAATGAAAAAATATTAAGTACAGTATATTTGATTTAATGTAAGTTTAAACTTTTTCATACTTTCATTTTAAATATATATAATCTGCAATAATCCGCTGAGTGTTTTCTTTAAAACAAGACAAAACTTCGGTCTACATTCCAAAGCATTCTTGAATTACAACCATTTAAGTCTGAATAGTGCATTTTAACGTCCATTCTCAAAAAGGGGGGTGACAGAAAGCGGTGATGCTATTCTTCATCTAAAACTATTTGAAACAACATTAACCTGTTTCATTCTGGCAGACTTCATAGGTTTTTTATCACTGCACAGGTTTTACTGCCACGCATGGGGCTGCCAAATCCAGAGATGCTTGAAAAGGCGCTATCAGACCTGGACGGCACGCTAGACAAGCTGGAAAACATGTTTCTGAAGAGACAGCCCTTCCTGTGCGGTGATGACATATCATTGGCTGACTTGTTAGCAGTTTGTGAGCTCATGCAGGTACATACTTAGTTGCTAAACATACTGTGAATGTTTACACAGACCAGTTAAAAGGACCTCTTTAATAAATTATTACCTGTCTTAGTTCACATGGTGTTGAAATGTTTGGAGAAGTCAAAGCTATAGGGCTAAAGATCTTTAAAATGCGTTCACTTGTCTCTTTCAGCCCCTGTGCGGCGGGAGGGACATTCTGGAGAACAGACCCAAACTGCTAAACTGGAGGAGTCGAGTCCAGTCCTCTCTCTCTTACTCCTTTGATGAAGGTCATGACGTTGTCTACCGTTTCAGAGAATCTACCTAAACACCCCTAAACTGTCTCCCTATTTCCCTATCCAATCCGTAAAGATTTATTTCACAACTATTCATAATTAACATGGCAAAGTGTTTACCTTATGGGATCAATTGTGTATTTTTGCCTTTTGCAAGTCTTTTTGTTAGGAAGGTTTTCTAAATGAATTAATGCTATGGTTTGCAATGATACATTTTCTCTCAAAAGCAAAGTATAACATGTAAATATAGTAATGTTGGCAACAACAAAAACAACTGTACAAATATTTATATAATAAAGTAGTAGAGTGTCAGACATTCTGGATGAATATGCATTGTAAGATTTTCCAAAAAATAGACAAATGAAAATCAGACTCAAGTGTTGTCGGATTATCTTTAAGTGACTGGAATGATATACACTGAACAAAATTATAAAAGCAACACTTTTGTTTTTGCCCCCATTTTTCATGAGCTGAACTCAAAGATCTAAGAATTTTTCTATGTACATAAAAGGTCTATTTCTCTCAAATATTGTTCACACATCTGTCTAAATCTGTGTTAGTGAGCACTTCTCCTTTGCCGAGATAATCCATCCACCTCACAGGTGTGGCATATCAAGACGCTGATTAGACAGCAGGATTATTGCACAGGTGTGCCTTAGGCTGGCCACAATAAAAGGCCACTCTAAAATGTGCAGTTTTATCACACAGCACAATGCCACAGATGTCGCAAGTTTTGAGGGAGCGTGCAATTGGCATGCTGACTGCAGGAATGTCCACCAGAGCTGTTGCTCGTGAATTGAATGTTCATTTCTCTACCATAAGCCGTCTCCAAAGGCGTTTCAGAGATTTTGGTAGTACATCCAACCGGCCTCCCAACCGCGTGTAACCACACCAGCCCAGGACCTCCACATCCAGCATCTTCACCTCCAAGATCGTCTGAGACCAGCCACCCGGACAGCTGCTGCAACAATCGGTTCGCATAACCAAAGAATTTCTGCACAAACTGTCAGAAACCGTCTCAGGGAAGATCATCTGCATGCTCGTCGTCCTCATCGGGGTCTCGACCTGACTGCAGTTCGTCGTCGTAAACGACTTGAGTGGGCAAATGCTCACATTCAATGGCATCTGGCACTTTGGAAAGGTGTTCTCTTCACAGATGAATCCCGGTTTTCACTGTACAGGGCAGATGGCAGACAGCGTGTATGGCGTTGTGTGGGTGAGTGGTTTGCTGATGTCAACGTTGTGGAGTGGCCCATGGTGGCGGTGGGGTTATGGTATGGGCAGGCGTATGTTATGGACAACGAACACAGGTGCATTTTATTGATGGCATTTTGAATGCACAGAGATACCGTGACGAGATCCTGAGGCCCATTGTGCCGTTCATCCACGACCATCACCTCATGTTGCAGCATGATAATGCATGGCCCCATGTTGCAAGGTTCTATTTAATTTCAAAAGTCATTGTTTATAATTCAAGAAATATTACAAAATTTTGTAGATGCTGCACTATGCTGCATTTAATCCATGTTGTAATTGCTGCAAATAAAGCTCTGTATGCTTTCTAATCGCTCTCACAGTACTTTGATGCCATACAATGATCGTTCTGCACAGCGCTGCTTCAAGTCAAACACACCTTAAATCTGCAGTGGTCAGGTGGTACAGCGGACATGTGGTACAAGTCGTAGCTCTCAGAAAGTTACGAGTTTACACGCAAGTTCGACAAGCACACAAAGGCTTTTTACAGTTCAGAATCGTTACGGAAATCACGACATGGCGTAAGCGCACCTTTACTACAGTTTGTGTCATAAGTGAATACGATGTGCAACTTTAAGATACAGTTTTGATACAGTTTTAATAAGACATTTTCATAACAGATAGGTAAGGCAGAAGAGCGAGAAGACAACTCATCATTCAAGAGCAAATCTGGGTCTTGATGTTCACAAACATTCATTCTTGTAAATACATATTTGTACCATTTCCTGTCAACAATAAAATGTTTTTACAATTTCTTCTCCTTAGATTATAAAAATGTATTAAATCATCACAAACCATTAAATTTATTCATTTAGCAAACCACGCTACCATTTGTTATATCCAAACTTGTGGATAATATATGCCTCATTTCAAACCCTTTATTAATCAAACATGATATTGAGCAAACTGCATATCCATGTTAGACAGATACATCCTTAATCCCATTAATGTTAATCATATTGAATCAATAGTTTGTGAAATATATCAACTGTATAGAATTAATTGCTGTGATTGATTTTTCACAGTTTAGCTGTGAACTTCTCTCTTAAACGGTAGACAATGTCATGAGCTTCATCAAAGGAGTCCGAGAGAGAGGACTGGACTCGACTCCTCCAGCTCAGCAGTTTGGGTCTGTTCTTCAGAACGTCCCTCCCGCTACCGAGGGGCTGAAAGAGACAATCAAATGATATCAAGGGTCTATTTATGTTTTTACATGTACAATTGTGGATGAATATTCAATTTCATCTTAATGAATGCCTTATTATTATCGAGGACCACAAGCATCTCAGAAATAATAAATATTGAGTCTTTTATGTTGATTTTATTTTTAATTTAAACTATTTATTGATGGATTTATACATTTTTCAATTACTCTTTTTATAGGCCATTAACTCTTTCCCCGCCATTGACGGAAATTTCCGTTATTTATAAGACAATGCTTCCCCGCCATTGACGGAAATGTCAGCTTTCCGTGTTTTCACTGTCATACTTGATGACATTTTCCGAAAGAGTACAGAATCTAAACAGATGAAGAAGAAACAGAAACAAGTAATATCATATGTAAGGAGATGCATATGTAAAATAACGTGATCATCAACATTAAACAGCATATACAGTATAAATCAAAACTGCCTAACGTTACCAAATTGACCCAGGACGAACTATAGGACTAAAGCTTTGGGTGTGTGTTGACTCGATCTACTCCATCTATGTTTTGATCATCGTTCTGAAACAGATGTAGTCTGCGTCAAAAATGCAATTTTCTCAGCTTTTTGCTCAAAATGTTTGTTTTTTTAATGAAACTTATTTTTTCTTGTTCGAGAAGCCGTTTCACTTAGATATACATCCCAATATGGAAGAAAAGTTTGCAACCGTTTCCATTTCATGCTGACTTTAGAAGCTTAAAATTAGGTTTTCTAATAGCAATAACTTGTTCACTATTCACTACATCATTATTTAGTATGTTTAGCAACTCTAAGTATGTACCTGCATGAGCTCACAAACTGCTAACAAGTCAGCCAATGAGATGTCATCACCGCACAGGAAGGGCTGTCTCTTCAGAAACATGTTTTCCAGCTTGTCTAGCGTGCCGTCCAGGTCTGATAACGCCTTTTCGAGCTTTGCAGGATTAGTTGGCTTTCCCGTCATGAGAGGCAGTAAACCCTGTACAGGAAAACAAAACCTATGAAGTCTGCCAGAATTAAATGTTTAAAAGGTAAATTAGGTTTGGATTTAAAAGTAAAAATATTCTTCAATGTATTTTCTCACAGAATATGATAAAAACTGCATTTCTGTCATGCCTCATGACAACTCTCGGAGTGTTTGGCATAGTAATGGATATGTCAGTGTTGATATGTTTGCTCTAGGTGGAATAGATCATCTACACTGCTGTTGATTATTGGACTTGCTACTGCCAATAAATTCATGACATGCTGCTGTGATCAAATAAGACATGCTACTGCTGTTCAATATAGCGTACATGAATCACCCATAGCAGATCTATACAGGTGGAGCTGGGGAAGGTGGAGGGTTTCTGAAAGCACGCTGAAAACTGCTACAGAAAATGCTGACCAGTATTTGAAAGTTGAGCAGCGAGCTCATTGGCTACTGATACGACAGGAACCGATCAGCTGTGCCCTATTGAGAATGATGTAATAATAATAATAATAATAATTCATTACATTTATATAGCGCTTTTCTAGGCACTCAAAGCGCTTCACATGGAAGGGGGAATCTCCTCAACCACCACCAATGTGCAGCATCCACTTGGATGATGCGACGGCAGCCATAGTGCGCCAGAACGCTCACCACACACCAGCTTACTGGTGGAGAGGAGACAGAGTGATGAAGCCAATCAGTGTATATATATATATATGGGGATGATTAGGAGGCCATGATGGACAGAGGCCACTGGGCAAATTTGGCCAGGATGCCGGGGTTACACCCCTACTCTTTCGAAAGACATCCTGGGATTTTTAATGACCACAGAGAGTCAGGACCTCGGTTTAACGTCTCATCCGAAAGACGTTATTGCAAGCAGATTGAGTTAAGGACCTAAGGATCAACCTGCGCCATCTAGAGTTTTATGACAGAACCTTGTATGTATAATAATGTTGTTTTTGATGAAGTATAGCATGTCACATTGCTGTCGCTGCTTTAAATGTCAATTAGCCACATATCATACCCTATACCTCAAGCCAGAAGACTGTGGCAGCATGTAAACGTGTGTTTGCATGATGCCAGGCTGTGTATTCATCCACTCGCGCTCTCTTCTCTGGCAGTTTGGGGTACCAGTGATCAGGGACATTATAGGTTGTCGCCAGATACTTCAATATGGCGTCACTGTGACGATAAATAATAGAATAGGTTAACAATAGAAACAATAATTCAAACTACTGCTACTACTAATAGCAATAATAATTTTAATTTTAATCTCCCAAATGCTCTTTTTTTTCTAACTACGCTCTTTCTCTTTACCTCTCAGTAAGAACAAATCCATTGTCCTCCAACACTGGCACTTTCTGCATGGGGTTGAGTTTGGTGAACTCAGGTGTCTTCTGCTGCCCTACAGTTTCATGTTTAAGGGCATTAAAGTTGTTAATGGTAGAATGTAGAATAAAGTTCAGTAAATTAAGTTTTAGTATAGTTCTGACATAGATACAGGACTATATCGGCAGGATAACCTTTGTACATGCTTGGATTCAAGCCAGCTGGACTTTACAAATGCATTGCACATGCAGCCTCCACTGAACAAATACCACACATAATGCTGCTCACCTTTTCGTATCGCAATGTGTTCCACCGTATGTGGGATTTTGTTGTTTTTCAGGAATATTAGCACAGCCCTGCATGGCTGCGACATGAGATCTAAATAGGCTTTCACTGCCTGTCTTACAGCCATAGTGAGGTGTCAGTGTGTCCCCCTGTATTGACAGAAATACCATGTGTTCCTGCTTTGTCAAGCGTCACTGGTCGATAGTCCAATCACAAGCTGCTTAAAGAAAATTACATGGTGCCTTCCTGCAGGGGGCTCACACACGCTAAACGCATCAAAACAGAGAACGTTCTCAAGACATTTGTTCACTAAATAGGAAATATATATTTAAATATATGTAATTCAAGTATACAAATTGGCATTATCCTCCTGTAATCTCTATAAAACTATATTTTTTAAAAACTCAAGTAATTGTAAACGACAGTTATTGGTCGATTCTTATCAGCGTTGAGAAAAGTAACAAATACCACGTGGAAATACAAAGTTCGTCGCTTCAGTTGAGCTCTGAATAATTTACGCCTGAAAAATTACACTGCGAGACTTTAAATGAAACGTTATCGATTATTATTGTAAAGATAAAAAAAGTTACATGATTTAAGACTGATTCTGAAAAACACATAGCTTTTTGCACACGTGAAAACATTTTGGCTATCAACATTTTTGTTGACATTAAAATTAAGTAAATTCAAGTATGATTCATGTAGTGATTTTTAGAGTTTGTAAAATATCTGATAACTTTAAGATTGTTGAGAATAAAAGATAACTGTGGGAAAAAGACAAAGCATTATGTGTTGTGAGAACATTTTCTTTATTGTCAAAATTTGTACATGTTTAATGCAGTGATTTCATGACTTGTATCTTCCTCACTTACGGTCACAATATTGATCCAGTTTACAGAATTAGAGCAGAAACCTGTATCAAACAAGTAGCCTACAATGATTCTAAATAGTATCGCTGCAGAGAGTTTTATCCATATTCATTTCTTTAAAACACATCCAATATGTAATACTATTGAAAGTCCCTCATTGTGTGACTCTCCTTGATATAAAGACAGTATTCATTTTGAAGGCACATGATTTCGTGCAGTCTGTGTGTGAATAACTGATCACACGCTTGCAAATTACTACATAGTACACTATTACTTGTTCAACAAGTATCTTTATTTCAGATATTTGCTGATCTCACATTTCCATGTATTTTTTGGCACATTTTACACACGCCCTTTCAAATATTAAAATACAGTGCTTTGTGAATGTCGGCCTACTGTATTGTGTGTTTTACATTGGTGTGGACAGTAGAGGGCCCTCAGTACCATTGGCAGCAGTGAGCTTCTTTTTAGAGCGAAACTCACTCTGAATCTCCAGAAATGTCTTGTTCTTGGTCTCTGGGACCACAAAGAAGATGTACGTGGCCACCAAGCAACAGATAACAAGGAAAACAAGGAAGCAGTACTGCTTTAGGCCATTCTGGGAGAGATAAAGAAAAATGTCACACGGTTAAAAACAAAGCCTTTAAATTCACGTTTTTAAATAACTATCATTAAAAAGTAATTAACCCTAATAATTTGACAAAATATGCATGGTAAATAATATGGTCCAGTGTCTTGGACAAACACAGTTCCTTTGTGAAATTGTTAATAATACAATTTTTGGATAACCCATTCTGTACATAATACACAGTGTAGCGCCAAATGTTTGTGTAGACCAGCCCCACTCATCAAAAGGCACTTCTCTAAAAAGAGAGGAAAAGGCATTTGTGTATACCACAATAAATGGGAAGATCATGCCGATGAGGAAGAAAGAGGTCCAATTGATAGAGCCGGAAATCATGTATGCAGCAGGCCGATCGGTTTGGGTAAACATCTCTGTTGTTAAAATGTTTGTCACACCACCTACAGCACAAAGCACATTTATATCACTGATCAAACTAGTGTGTGTTTACACCAGTGTGTGCCAATGCACACAACAATAGTGTAGACAGAATACAGTTTGTATTAAAAGATTACTAATTATGTCATTTTCTGTCTTTCTTTTTTGCTCATTCATTCACCTGGTCCAAGGCCAAAACTGAGGATGAAGGCAAAAACACAGGTCATACTAAGATAGGGAACCCAAGTGCTGGACTCCTGTGAGGGAGAAACAACAAACACACGCCAATAAATTGCAAGAACTCTTTACAATAACTCTATACAAATAAACTTGAATTGAATTGAAAACATTCAATTAAATCTGCATACATATCAATGTTTGAAACAAATATTAAGATCACAAACTTTATGCCATTTTTCAACGTACTTTATCATACAGTATGACTGCAGTTTATTGAGACATTATAGAAATAAAGGTTCCTAATAGAATTGGTTCCACATAAAGTCATAGATTGTTGTTTTGGGCAGCAAATTAAAAAATTGCTAAAATGGATATTTCACCCAAAAAATGTTTTACTCACCCTCATGTCGTTTTAAAACCTTTAAGACTTTCATTCATATTTGAAACACAAATGAAGATCTTTTTGATGAAATCTGAGAGCTTTCTGTCCTAATCCATATGAATTGAGCGGTTTAGTCCAAATTTACTGAAGAGACTCGATTGCTTTATATGATGAACATATTTAATTTAAGCTTTTATTCACATTTAGACATTGATCAGCGAACATAAACAGAAGCTCAACCGAATCTGCTTGACGCTTGACAACAAACCTCATTGGTTCTAGCTGAAGCTCAAACGTGATGCGTAACACGAGAATGAACCTCATTGGTTCTTGTGGAAACTCAAATGTAATGCGTAACATGAGAATGAACCTCATTGGTTCTGGTGGAAACTCAAACGTGATGTGTAACACGAGAATGAACCTCATTGGTTCTGGTGGAAATTCAAACATGATGTGTAACACGAGATTGAACCTCATTGGTTCTTGTGGAAACTCAAACGTGATCCATAACATGAGAATGAACCTCATTGGTTCTCGCACATCAAGCGAACATCCTTGAGCTTCCGATCCTTGAACTCACTGATGTGAGTTTATGAATGTTTATATATGAATTAAAGACTAAATTCTATCTGTTCATTTTATAAAGTGATCTTGCCTTTTCAGAATATTTAGACTAAACCGCTTAATTCATATGGATTAGTTCTACAATCTCAAAAACTTTTTTGAAGCATCAAAGTGTCAGTTGTGTAAATGTCAATGGAGGGACAGAAAGCTCTCAATTTTCATCAAAAATATATCCATTTGTGTTCCAAAGATGAACAAAAGTCTTGCAGGTTTGGAACGACATGAGGGTGAGTAATGATGGCAGAATAAAAAAATTTGGGTGAACTGACCATTTAACATCCATGGAGGAACCTTTGTACCACACAAATGGTTCCTTATGAGAAAGGGTTCTGTATGTAACAGAGGCCAGATAGTAAGAGCTGTGCAAGTAAACCTCACTCCCCTGGCCTCAAGAGTATCACGATGCTGGTTGCGATCTTTACACTCTCAAAATAAATCAACAGCTTGTCACTGGGGTAGTACCCTTAAAAGGGTCATCTTTGTACTTATTTACCCCTAAAATGTTCATAGTAGTACCTTAAGGATACATTACTACCACTAATATGCACCCTTAGGGGATGGATATGGTACAAATTTGTCCTTTTATGGGTACTGCCACATTGACAAACTGTTCTGCATGTTTTTTTTCTGACAGTGTAGTGTCCTTGTTAGTGCTCCCGCCTCCTCTGCCGGTAACACCGAATCCCACTCGTCGCGGTGCGAGTAGAACCAGAGGGGTTACATTTAGATTATTAAAATGTTCTTTACACTAAGAAAATTAGGTCTTTTACAACTTTTCTCTGAAATTGTTCTTCTATGGCATTGCAGCAAAATCCCCTTTTAGAACCTTTATTTTTAAGAGTGTAAAAAAATATTGACATGGTTCACAAAATAAATATATTGAGAAAAACAGCAAATATATAGTAGTATAGTATAGTACAGTATAGTATAGTATAGTATAGTATAGTATAGTATAGTATAGTATAGTATAGTATAGTATAGTATTAGCATATAGAATTTCTTATAGATCACTGTTAACCTGAAAAGTCAGTGCGACGGTGAAACAGACACAACACAGGCTCATGAGAGAGTATCCACCAATAATCAGAGCCCTTCTTCCCAAAGACTCGATCAGAAGACCCTGAAACACACACACACACACACAAAACTCCTGTGTTTGAAAAACCTTTCAACATCGGGTTCATATAATTTTCTAAAATCTCCATGCAACTACTTCTAAAGGCTGAAGCACAATTTGTCAGATCAGCACTGTGTGATTTGTGGGACATGTCTCTGGATCAACAGGCATATGCCAAACAATTTTATGCCAAAAATGCTTTCTGAGATAAACGACTTTGAGCTGGTAAATCCCAGACTTACACAGGTCAGCGCAGTGATGCACTCGCAAGCTCCGGTTCCCACTGTGGCGTACGGAATCTTGTCAGCTGGAATCCCAGCCTGGGTGAACACGTAGTCTGCATAAAAATAAATCTGAAGGGAGAGAAATCTCTATCAACTGGGGTCATAAGGACACATGTGATTTGAACAATGAAAAGTCCCCATGAATTTAAAATTGACCATACTTACTTTGTTTGCCTAAATTGATCGTTTTGTGGTGAACAATTCATCCATGCAAGTCAATCCACACAAAAAAATGTTTTGGCTTCATAATCTTTAATCAAAATCTGAAATTTCCCCTCCCCTCTGCATTGGAGGACCTTCCCTGATGACGTAGGTTTGACGGTTTGGGCGTCTTCTTAACATCCGTAATCACGCCCCTCCAACTGACAGTAGACAGGCTGAATGAAAACACCTACTTTTCTAGATCCAATCAGGTGCTAGTTGGAAAAAAAGCCACGCCCACTATTTTGCCTCATTTAGTATTCCGTTTCTCTCGGAAATACGTCACAACACTGGAGAAAAGTCGTTTGCAACTTCCGGTTCACGGGGACTTTAAAGGAAAAAATTCAGTAATTTTCAATAGGAATCTACCATAGGAAAAAGTTCCTCACGTTCCCCCCAGATTTTTCTGTAAGTTAAAGAATGTGTCTCATATTGTCTACTTTTAAAAGGTCACGTAAACAGCATACATTTTTATGTAGTCTTAAAATTTTTAACAGTATATCTAATTTTGAACATTAAACCTTACAAAACAGTGTCTGAAATGTGCATTTGTACTCTCTCTTGGTGTTTTATCCAATGCAATGACATTTACTTTTTAATAGTGCTTAAATTGTCTATATAATGTGTGGGCCTACTGTACATGGTTCAGCATTGGCTTTGCTTCACTTTCATGCATATTATGAGCTGAGATAAATGTCACACAGATACTTTTTTCAATAATTTGCCTTGATAAAAGATCAGGGTGTAATTCACAGGCCGGTCACATGACATTTTGAAGGGAGGGTGTGTTTTTTTGTTTTAATAGTGCACATATCTGCAGTCAAGGCTGATCATTTTATATTTCAAGCCATTAATGTGAAGCTATTGTCTCTGGGTGTCTGAGCGAGATACACACCGCATTGATGCCGTTGAGTTGCTGGGACGTGTGGATCACTAAGAGGGTCAGAAGCTGCCAGCGAAGACTGCTGTCTTTAAAAAGCTCCCAGGGCTTCTTGGGTTTAATGCCGATCGCACAGTCCCTCTCTCTCTCTATGTCCTCCTTCTCTCCATGGTACTTATCCGGCCCATGGAACCACGTTAGAGCTGAAAGAAAGTGGCAAAGGGCATAGCATTCCTTTACTCACGAGATTCTCTTCTCCTCGCTTCAGTTGTTGGTTACGGCTCAACTGGTTTGATTTATCTTCCTTACAGACAGTGTGTTCACATCATGACAACCGTTCAGGAGGGATCATGTCAATGAGATTTTTCGCTTCGGTATTTAAATGTTTTGATTTTCTGGTTATACACAGCTGAGATGAGAACATCATCTTCACTTCAATGGAATCATGAGTTTAAATGTGTCTTATGACCTTACTTGCCGGCAAAACATGAAAAACAGATCAAAACAAGCAGGAACCAGATACAGTTTTGACCAGTCATTTCCTGACTTGAAAACTTACATGCTGATTTTGTGGTTTGTTTACCTGGTTATTGATCAACTGCTAATATTAATCTTCATCCATTGATTCATAAAAAATAAAATAAAAATCTTCAGTTAAATGCAATACCTGGCAGTATTTTTGAATTATCACATGAAGCACATTGGTAAAGATTGTAGAAAAATGTATTTCATTTTCAATTTCATTCTGATATTTTCTGTAAACTGCTTAATTTGCCATATCACTCCTTATTTAGTGAGATTTTGCTCTTTTTTTTTAAGAAACTAGTACATTTGTTCAGCTCGGATGCATTTAATTGACCAAGAGCGACAATAAAGACATGAATAAAGTTACAAAAGATTTAAGTAAATGTTATTATTTTAAACTTTCTATTCATCACAAAATCTGATTAAGAGAAAGTTCCACAAAAATATTAAGCTGACGATTTCAACATTGAAAATAATAAGAAATGTTTCATGAGCATCAAATCATCACGTGACACTGAAGACGGGAGTAATGATGCTGAAAATTCAGCTTTGATCACAGGAATAAATTACACTATACAATATAATCAAATAAAAAACAGTTATTTTAAATTGTAATAATTTTTCACGATATTACTGCTTTTAATTTAAATAAGTGCAACCTTGGTGAGAATAAGAGACCTCTTTTTTTTTTTTTACAGACTTTTGGTAGTACTATTACTGACCTCAGCAATCCATCAACTGATTCCACAAAAAGTCTATATAATTTGGACAGCACAGAAGACAAATACTCCGAGCTTTATCACTTCCTTTAACAACAAGTAAAAATTTATATTAACGGGTATATATCCAACAACATCGCATTGGCACTAGCACCTTCTTTATTGAAACAATATTGTGTACAGTTATTGAACCAGTCCGTACCTTTTGTGCAGGCGACATCATCCCCACGGTCGATGAGGAGGTAGCGGGGGCTCTCGGGGAACCAGGGCAGAATCAGCAGCTGCAGGATGGCTGGAATACACGTGGTGGACAAGAGTATGGGCCAGTACTCCTCCTTACCTAACAACTCTCTGACAGAGCGAGAGAGAGAGAGAGAGAGAGAGAGAGAGAGAGAGAGAGAGAGAGAGAGAGAGAGAGAGAGAGAGAGAGAGAGAGAGACTTAAAAACCTTTGAGAGAGAGTCTTAAAAATCAACTGCCATGTTGATTTAAATATAATTTAGTAGGCTACAATAAGAGAAATCTTTTGTATGCTATACACTACCGGTTAAATATTTGTTAATTTAATCAAAAATGCCGTAAAAGCAGCAATATTGTGTAATATTATTATTGGAAAAGCTGAATTTCCCCCCAGTCTTCAGTGTATAAGGCTGTTTTTGTGTAACTCTGCCATTATCAGACATTTTGAGTTGAGGAATAATAATAAAAAAAAAAATTGGTAATAAATATTCTAATAAATAAGGTATTTTCTGTAAATGAAAACTTTTCTTTTTTTTTTTTTTTTGATGCTGCATCCACTTTGACTTGTGACAGTATAAAGTCAAAGATTGTTGTATGGGTCAGCAATTAGGTTAGTTTACCCAAAAATTTGACAAGTACAAAGTACTTACATCATATAAAGCGATCAAGTCTCTTCAGAAAATTTTGGACTAAACCGCTCAATTAATGTGGATTAGTTTTACGATCTCTTTATGAAGTTTTTGGAGCATCAAAGTGTCAGTTGCGTAGCTGTCAATGGAGATACAGAGAGATCTCTCAGATTTCATCAAAAATGTCTTCATTTGTGTTCCGAAGATGAACGAAAGTCGTACGGGGTTGAAACGACACAAGGTTGTCTAATTTATGACAGAATTTTCATTTTTTAATGAACTACCCCTTTAAATTTAGTACATTTCAGGGGGGGAAATCAACAGGAGACATATTTAAGACAAATTTTGACCTTCCTCTTATGCTTTATGTGGTGTTAATGCCTTTGTTTCGTACTTGAGGCCAATCACTTGTCCCGTTAAGATCCCCCCGGTGATGAAGATGGAGGTCCCCATGGACATGGCTCCACGCAGAGCTCTAGGTGCGATCTCACCAATATACAGAGGCTGCACACAGATCGCGATACCTGTCATTCAAATGAGATGTCAGTTATGGGATCATAAAATAATGCTCTTAATGTTGTGTAACTTATTTAATTCAATACGCTTCTCATTTATGTTTAGTCATTTAACAGATAGGCTTATCATAAAGGCAACAACAAATTCTATCCAGCAAATCACTTACAGAAATTCCAAACATGCAATGAATACATTTAAACCACTTGCATTTATTTTGGGATTGCTTTGTCTCAGGCCTACGGCTTTTTCACTGATGTGGGAAAATATACTTTTCGCTAAAAAAAATAGCTGATTATTCAGCTATTAAATATTATTATTAAATAGCTGATAATTCAAAAGAAGATATTCTGACTAAATTTCATATTCATGAATGCAAATGTACTAATTAAAAAAACTATTTATGATTTTATGGAGTAAAGCAAACCTGTACATTGATAATATTAGAAACTTTCTAAATTAAAAAATCTATTAAGACTTTAAATATTTGTGAACCTTATAAGGAATTTATTTCAATTTAAATAATTGTATTTAATAACAAACTATTTATTTTCTTTTATATATTTTGACCTTCCCCTTTTATAGATTGCTGTATAACGTTTAATATTTGTATTCATTAAAAAAAAAAACACTACCAGTCAGAAGTGTGGGGTCAGTTAGTAATTTTTAAAAAATGTTATTCTCCAAGACTGCATTTATTTATTTAACAAACAACAATATCGTAAAACATAACAATTTAATATAACCATTTTCTATTTGAATATATTTTAAAATGTAATTTATTCCTGTGATGCAAAGGTGTATTTTTCAGCATCACTGCAGTCTTCAGTGTCACATGATCCTTTAGAAATCATTATAATATGCCGATTTGCTGCTTATGACACAATTCCATCCAATTATTATCAATGTTGCAAACAGTTGTGCTACTTAACATTTTTAAAAACCATTACATGTTTTTTTTTTTCAGGATTCTTTTTTCAGGATTCTAGAAAAATCAAAAGAACAACATTTATTTGAAATATAAATCTTTTGTAACATTATAAATGACATGACTGTCACTTTTGATCAATTTAACTCATCCTTGCTGAATAAAAGTAAATATTTTTTTATTTTATTTTTAAGTTTGAACTATAGTGTATAATGTTAATGTTGATTGAATTAAAAAAAAAGATCAACGTTCACTAATTTTATGTGCTTTAAACCTTGAGATACTGTACCTGCGTTTACTCCTGTCAGGAAGCGTCCGATGATTAAAAGCTCAAAAGTGCTCGAAGGATAACTCAAGCCCATGAAGAAAGCAGCCAGCAGAGCAAATGTGTTGTTAAACAATAGTGTCCCTTTCCTGAAAAAAAGATGGGAAAATGTATCTCAAGGCTGTAACATCCCTAAAAACGTAATTGAATGCATTCTTCAAACACATTCTATACAGTATGTTGTCTTCCGTTCACCTTCCAAATCTAATGGCCAGAGTTCCCCCAACGGACGCTCCCACAAGTCCACCAAGAGTGAATATGGACACAATGGTGGACCAGAGGAGAGTGAGCATCTGTGTGGAGATTTCCGTGTTGTAGCGCTCTGTCCATGTCTGATTAATGAAGTTCTGTACAGACTGATGAAATAACACACAAGCAAATGGAATAAATACTGTCTTACGTGAAAGGAAAGGGTGCATTTAAAGTCGCAGTAAGCGATTTCTGAGAAACACTGCTGTTGATTTTTTTGAAAACAGAAAACAGGCCCGTCCCTTCGTTGCTCCGCCCCCAAAGTTCACGCAAGTATAGATGAATCAGCTGAATCAACAACAGCAGCATTAGTTTTGTGAAACAGCAAATCCAATGTTACTCACGTATTGAGAAAAAACAAAGCAACCTCGGTGTCCATTTTCAGGCTTTCCCTCTCTCTAACATCCCTCCAGTGGTAGGGTTTTCTAATACTATAGGGTAGGCCATTTGTTTTATATATACTTTTTGTTGTATTGGTTGAAAATCTTCACATCCTGATAGCAACTAACTAATAAAACATGAACATATATCTTCAGTGGAAGTCTCAGGACCAAAAAATGTTCATCCAATCATTGCATGCAATCCGAATGCAATGATACGATGTCCTACCCGCCTTGTAATGGTAATTACCTTCTACCCCGAGCTTTTCCTGAATTTATACGTTTCTATGTCAACACTATCAATACTGAAATGAATCTGCTGCAGTCAGGAGGTACAACTAGAGCTCTGTAAGTGGTTTATGTGCATGTTATGTGCTTTGAGACATGAGGTAATTTACCTTTGCAGACTCTCAGACTCAGAACTGTGTGTGTTCATGTGTTTTGAAGGAGGCGTGGCTTTGGAGACGTTCTAAAGGGAGGGTGGGATCCCGGGAGGGTGGGATCCCATGCTTTCAAAGCTAGCTTGCTATTGCTAGCCCGTTCGAATGCCTACGCTACCTTTAACGTGCTTCATCTGACCTTTTCCTCTTTGATAATATCTCAGCCATCTCTCTTTCTATGGTCTTTCAAATGTCCCGGTTGCTCACTCTCCATCATCATGAGTGTATGGTGATCGCTCTGATCCACTTTGTTTTTTCTCCTATGCAAGGACTATGTACAAACGTATATTTTTTATGGCACACACAGATATCTGGCAAATATTCACAAATTTGTTTGTTTGGGTGTTGATTTAGATTTTCATTAGCTTTTCTCAGAAACCACCTACTTCACCTTTAACTTGGATAATAGTAACATGAACAATATTTTATCAAAAAGAATATCTTAGAATGTCAATTGCTAATCTAGGCTAATGTGTGGACATTGTGAAACATGGTTAAAATTGACCCTGAGTTAACAATTAAAAACTGCAAAAAGCCCAAATGTGGGTTTTGGAATCAGTAGGCTACATTTAGTTAAAAAAAATTGCAAAAGTGTGACAGGGAACAAAATTCCCATAACATATTAACTAACTACAGATTTCATGTGACTTTAATCTGATGAGCGACTGCAATAATAACTTATACATCACACACACACACACATACATACATACATAACCAAAGTAAACTCCAAACTCCTCTTAATGTGACGGTATAATGCATATTATACAAAGTCTGCTTTATGTGTAAACACAAACAGGCTTCAGTAAAGTGATGAATAATCGGGTAAAGGCTTGATGCACAGTTCTTACCTTGGTCGGTGCATTTATGATAGAAATATTGTACCCATACTGAAAGGTTCCACCAATGCCAGCAGCCCAGACAGCCAGAAGAAGAGACTTACTGGGAACCTGCAGTTAACACAGTACAAAATGCATGTTCAGATGTGATTTTGATCTAAACTTGCTGTTAACAGCTAATATTTATAGTGGTTAGGAGTAGAGCAGAGTAGAGCAGAGTAGAGCAGAGTAGAGTAGAGTAGAGTAGAGTAGAGTAGAGTAGAGTAGAGTAGAGAGAAAGTAGAGTAGAGAGTAGAGATTGGAGAGAGAGTGTAGAGTAGAGTAGAGTAGAGTAGAGTAGAGTAGAGTAGAGTGAAAGTAGAGTAGAGTAGAGTAGAGTAGAGTAGAGTAGAGTAGAGTGAAAGTAGAGTAGAGTAGAGAGAAAGTAGAGTAGAGTAGAGAGAAAGTAGAGTAGAGTAGAGTAGAGTAGAGAGAGAGTAGAGTAGAGAGAAAGTAGAGTAGAGTAGAGAGAAAGTAGAGTAGAGTAGAGAGAAAGTAGAGTAGAGAGTAGAGAGTAGAGATTAGAGAGAGAGTGTAGAGTAGAGTAGAGTAGAGTAGAGTAGAGTAGAGTAGAGAGAAAGTAGAGTAGAGAGAAAGTAGAGTAGAGTAGAGAGAAAGTAGAGTAGAGTAGAGAAAGAGTAGAGTAGAGTGAAAGTAGAGTAGAGTAGAGAGAAAGTAGAGTAGAGTAGAGAGAAAGTAGAGTAGAGTAGAGAGAAAGTAGAGTAGAGTAGAGAGAAAGTAGAGTAGAGTAGAGTAGAGAGAAAGTAGAGTAGAGTAGAGAGAGAGTAGAGTAGAGAGAAAGTAGAGTAGAGTAGAGAGAAAGTAGAGTAGAGTGGAGTAGAGTAGAGAGAAAGTAGAGTAGAGTAGAGAGAAAGTAGAGTAGAGTAGAGTAGAGAGAGAGTAGAGTAGAGTAGAGAGAAAGTAGAGTAGAGTAGAGAGAAAGTAGAGTAGAGTAGAGTAGAGTAGAGTAGAGTAGAGAGAAGAGTAGAGAGTAGAGAGCAGAGATTAGAGAGAGAGTAGAGTAGAGTAGAGTAGAGTAGAGTAGAGAGAGTAGAGATTAGAGAGAGAGTAGAGTAGAGTAGAGTAGAGAGAGAGTAGAGTAGAGAGAGAGTAGAGAGTAGAGTAAGTAAGTAAAGTCTATTTGTATAACACCTTTTACAGATAAAAATCACAAAGTGCTTCACAGTAGAATGTAATACAATAAAACAAATAAAACAAAAGTACAATACGTGAGAAAGTTTAAAACCAAATAGAAAACATAAAACAAAATCATAACAACCCCACGTCTAACTAAAAGCCTGCTTAAATAGCAGCGTCTTTAGTTGCTTTTTAAAAGCTTCGACAGAATTCACACAACGTAGAGAAGGAGGTAAAGCATTCCACAGCCTAGGTGCCACTGCTTGGAATGAACGATCCCCTCTAGTTTTAAAATGAGTGTGGGGAACCACTAACAACCTCTGACCTGATGACCTCAAACTACGGGTCGGAGTATGGAGCTGTATATCAACCCAGAGATGTAGCGAGGAACTAGACCCTGCAGGGCTCTGAAAGTAAGGACCAGGATTTTAAATTGAATTCTATACTGGACAGGTAACCAGTGAAGTGCTGCTAATACAGGTGAGATATGAGCTCTTTTATTTGTGGGAGTTAAAAGCCTTGCGGCAGAGTTCTGAATGGCTTGGAGACGGTGAAGCTCCTTCTTGTTCAAACAGGTAAAAAGACTGTTGCAGTAATCTAAGCGAGAGGAAATAAAAGCATGAATAATCATTTCTAACTAACCCTTTGACACCAGTATTCTTAATTTGGAAATATTCCTTAGTTGAAAGAAACAGTTTCTGACCAATTGTTTAGAGTGACACCCCAGGGACATCGCAGAATCAAAAACAACACCTAAGCTCCTAAGGCTCGGATGAAAAGACGAGTCTAAGTCAAAAATATGCTGTTTAATCTGAGGAATTTTACTTTCAGGGGCAATAATCAGTGTTTCTGTTTTCTCTGAGTTTAGGAGAAGGAAATTGTCACATAACCACTGTTTAATACTAGTCAAGCAGTTTGTTAAAGAAGACAATTTATGGAACTCAGTTTCCTTGAACGAGCAATACAGTTGAATATCATCTGCAAACAGATGGTAAGATATGTCACTGAACTGACTAATTATCTGTCCTAGAGGAAATATATACAAAAGGAACAAGGTGGGTCCCAAGACAGAACCCTGAGGTACCCCACACGACAACCCTGCAGTTTCAGACATGAATTGATTTACAAAAACACTAAAACTTCTACTCGAAAGATAGGAAGAGCACCATTTTAAAACCAATCCAGACATCCCAACCAGCTCATGGAGTCTATATTTATCATAATATTATGATCAACTGTATCAAATGCAGATGAAAGGTCCAAAAGAACCAAAACTGTGTATTCCTTGGAGTCAGCTGACATAAAAATGTCACTAGAAACTTTAAGTAATGCAGTTTCTGTAGAATGCTTTTTACGGAAACCAGACTGGAATTTGTCAAAAAACTCGTGATTCTCCATGAAATGGACGAGCTGTTCTGCTACAACTTTTTCTAGAATTTTTTACATGAATGGAAGTTTGGATATCGGCCTGTAACACTTGGGTTGTAATGGATCCAAACTGGGCTTTTTAAGTACAGGCTTAACAACAGCATGTTTAAAAAAAAGTATGAACGACACCAGTTAAAAGTGAAGTAATAGAGTAGAGTAGAGTAGACTGTAGAGTAGACTGTAGAGTAGAGTAGAGTGTAGTGTAGTGTAGTGTAGTGTAGTGTAGTGTAGAGTAGAGTAGAGTAGAGTAGAGTAGAGTAGAGTAGAGGAAAACTGCAGTATTGCAACAGCAGCTGAAGAGCTGCAAAAATATACAATAAATATGGTAACACTTCACAATAAAGTCTCATTTGTTAACATTAAACAATATTTTTAAAGCATTTATTAATCTTTGTTAAAATTGTCCATTGTTTGTTCATGTTAGTTCACAGTGCATTAAATAATGTTTATGGTTAAACTAATATGGTTAATGTTAACAAATTGAACTTAGTTGCAAAGTGGTACCAAATATATGCATGTGCAAAAATACAACAAATATACAATAATCTAAAAAAATAATTAATGTAATATGCAAGACACATAAGCACGTCCTGTCCATCACTGTTCATTATGACGAGTGCTGAGTAGTATACTAGTTATAACCTGCTAGTACTGAGTATTTTTAATTATAATACACAATATTATAATAAGAATCATTTCAAGCATACCTTTATTTGTTGAACGGGTTCTTTGAAGTCTTTAAGTAAGGGCTGATATTCCTTTAGCTCTCCGTTGTCTTTGCCCATTTTTGAAACTCGTCCAAAATATTTTAACATTTCGCTTAATATTCCAAACGTCTCTTAATCACGGATTCAGAGTGTCTGAAATATGAACTCATCCTAGGACAGAACTGCTCTCAGAGCTCTAGATGAGCTGCATAACAGATATACTAGCAGAAATACAATCATGCTGTTGTTAGAGCATGAACAGTGAAAATGAATGGGCTCAGAGTTGATTCAGGATGAAATTCCCTTTAGAGCCATGCACAGAGAAGCTCTGTAGGACATCTTTGGGATATTTTTTGTCTTTTCACACATGCATGTCAATTGCGTTTTCCACACTCAGTCCTGTGGATAATGCACTGAGAGCCTTGTGGTGGACCATGAATTCAAAATTCAAATGAAAGCTTACCTTTCTTCTTAAAGTTGTAGACTCTTCTGGCTCGTTCATTTTGAGTTCATTCATTTTTAGCAACTTTAGAATGCTAAAGAAAGGAGTTTATTCCACCATGCCTTCTATAGGTCTCACTGGAAAGATTAACTTTGAAGGGGCGGTAGGTCTGTGTGCAGTCATTAGTGTAATCATAAGCTCAGATGACCACCACTGGGCCATCCTGAGGCGCAAATCTGAATTCTGCATGTAAGATTACAGTCGGATCGTCCTCATTTAAAGATGACTAATAAACTAGTATTTCACGCTATGGGTCTTATATGTGAGAAGAAACACTTATTGAACTATATCAAGCATTGTGTTGTTTGGCCTTTGATCACAAAGAGCACATTGTTGCTGTTTCAGTCAAGTGACCCGCAGAGCCCATAAGCTTCTTTCTGATTCATAAAACTCAAGCAGTTTGGAAGGCTCTGACCATACCGGTATCATCATTTTAAACAATTGTGCGTTTAAAGTCTAGGCATGTATTTCATATAAAAATCATGGAATGATTATCTAAAATGTTTGTGATAGGTGGAAATGTTGTGTTACCTTAACAAACTCAAATCTCGCTCGCCTGGTGTAGACTATAGTCTAAACTGCTCAGTGAAAGTTATATATATATATATATATATATATATATATATATATATATATATATATATATATATATATATATATATATATATATATATATATATATAAAGTAATTTACTTGATTCAAAGTTTAAAATAAAACTTAAAAATTGTTGTGTAAATTTGAGTAAAAGATCTGTGTAGATCAATACACACTGCCGTTATGGATTTTTTTATACATTTTAAATATATATATTCTTGCTGAATGGGGGCACATAATGAGGTAAAATTAGTCTGATTTACATTTTTATATTACATTTACAGATATTATGTGCTTAAACATTTTTTTCTCATTCATAGCATAATATTTTTTGCTTAATTTGAATTAATATGAGATTGCTTTCCACTGACTTAAATATTTTTTTTAATTTCTATAAAAAAACAAACAACTGTAAGGTTTTGAAGACATCTTTGTCGTTTAAATTTTTTAATGTAATATGATATTTCTAAGAGATGTTTCTGTTCCATTGTTGGCGTTTTGTCACTGTTTCCCGTGTTGAACATTTTAAAATAATAATAATAATTTGGAATACATTATTTTATTTTTTTTAGTTTAGTTTCGTTTTCTGTTTATTTACTGGTTGTTTTGTTGTATGTAAATGAATAGTAGTAATTCTTTTATTCAGACAGTCCATGTGACCTGAAGCCCCGCCCCCTGTGTGCTCACGTGATCTCGTGCGCCTGGTAACAGCGAAAGCGTCGCTCACGCTATGGAGATTGAGAAGCTGAACTCGAGGAGCCGCGGAAGATTTACTGCCGAAACGGATCACGATGCGCGATAAATCCTTCGTTCGCGTACTTTCAAATATCTCCGACATCACCCACACACACACATGCGAGGCATTCACAATAACACTGGCACACTGATTGGGAAACCCGGATAATCGTCTTACGGCACGGGACGGTAAGTTTAGTTAGTTCTGTCCTCGCGAACTTCACTGAATTTAAATTGCGTCTACGTATGTCTAATGTAGTTTAATATTAGATGCATGGGTTAAAAGCCGGCGATGTATGTCATGCAGTGCTTGCTGGTTTGCCTTCAAATGAGCAATGCATTGTGGACGGGCACCGACATATAGATATATATATACCTATATGTAAATATCTGCATATTGCTGTTTCATTTCATATGACGGTTTATTGCAGAAGATGTCTACTGGGGATATTGGTTTGGCCAAATATTGCCATATTGCATCTTTCTCGTTACCTAATGCGATGAGGAACTAATGCACTTAATAGGATTCAGGTCGCCCTCCCTGTCTTCCTGTAGCTCTCAGATGCAAGCTGTGCCCATACATAACTGAGTCCAATACATAACTGATTACCAGCTTATGCTAGAGACAACATCAGCATCTGTTCTTGGCAGCTAATGAGGTTGCCAGGGACTGATGAGAAAAAAGAAACTGTGTAATTCTCTCAGATCCCGAGGAGTCTGTAGATGGCTTGCGACGTGGGGAGATGAGAGAGTCCTCCTGATATCAGGTGATTGGACACCCATACAAACATGGGGAAACTACAGAGCAAGTTCCGGCGGCGCTCAGACCTTTACAAGTGAGATATGATGAGCAATAATGATTTGACATATGCTTGTGAGGAGTTTGTGGTCATTGAGGCTCTGTTGTTGTTGTTATCACCTTGACAGGGTCAAAGAGGGGGAGACTGCACTCGTGCCACAGGTAGTGCAGTATGAACCCGCTCACACAGATGCCATCAACTGTGTCGTCAGCCTGACCTCTGACCTCTGCGCGTCAGGGGGGCATGACCAGGTGAGCTGGAGAAGCATTGAATAGGTTTTGAGATTAACGAGTGTGGCGGTGTTGGATGTCAAAGGTGAAGTCATTGCTTCAGCACCCATTGGAAATGCAAAAACAATTGACCTTTCACTGCTTTGCCTTGTTGGTTTAACTGTTGCTGACTGATAATAAAGCCGTTACAACTGAATGGAATGAATTCCAAAGCATTTTCTCTCTTTTTTTTTTTTCTTTTTTTTTTTAAAGGACCTGCTTAATTACACAGTAGTGTTATAAAACTCTGCGGCAAAGTGAACCATAAGTGTAGTCAGTGTTATTGAAAATTAATCTATTAAAAAAAATGTGTATATGTACAAAGTATTTGTTAGCTGAAATAAAATATTAGATGACAATTTAAAACAAACTCAGTTGAAGTTACTAAAACTGAAATAAAAATTATAATAGAAGAGAATAATATAAATATTTACAAAAGTGCATAGTAAAATTACTAAAACTAAAACTGAAAATGAATTAATTAATAATAACGTATAATTAATACTAAAATAACACTGGCGTAAATTAACTAATCGTTAATAATGTACTGTAAACTCTTTAGTTACTATCAATATATAAATGAAATTATATTAACTTACGCTCTTTGTTCTCACATAATAAAAGAATGTGTCAAATCAATCTTTCATTGAAATACACTACTATTAAAAATATTTTTTTTCTTTGAAAGAAATGAATACATTTATTCAGCAAGGACTCATTAAATTGATCAAAAGTAAGTGACAGTAAAGGCATTTATAATGTTACAATAGATTTCTGTTTGTTTTTTTTAAATGCTGTTCTTTTGAACTTTCTTTTCATCACAAAGAATCATTAAAAAAATGCTACTGTATCCACACAGAAAAAAAATAAGCAGCACAACTGTTTTAAACATTGATAATAATCAGAAATGTTTATCGAGCTGCAAATCTTCATATTGGAATGATTTCTGAAGGATCATGTGACACTGAAGACTGAAGTAATGATGCTCAAAATTCAGCTTTACATCACAGGAATAAATGACATTTTAAAATATATACAATTTTCAGAAAATACACCTCTTTGGCATGATACATGATCTGTATCATCCTGTCTTAGTACCTAGCAACCACCTGGAACACCATAGCAACGTCAGACAACATTAAGCATGTAAAAATGTAAATATCTAGCTACATTTGCCGTTCAGGTTGGTGCCACTAGGAATTACATGCTCCACATTTAAGGCTTTACACAAACTGGTAATAATTGTCATAATATCTTGTTCAAAGTTTGATTGAAATATGCATTTTAATTTGATTTGTGTTGTTGTTTTTGGGTCAGGCTGTTGTTGTCTATGACTGGAAGGCTGGAAAACTGTGTAAATCATTTCCGGGCCATAGCAGAGAGATCACAAAGGTAATAAAACTACAGTAAATCTTTCTAATTAGATTTCAGCGAACAAAGTCGGGTTATGCTTTTACTTGTTTTGGAACCATTTGCAATGGTGGAACAAAAATAAACAAAACAGATTTTGTTTAAAGGTACACTATGTAACGTTTGGCCCTCTAGTGGTTAAAAAAGAAAACCGCATGCATTTTGCAGAAGAACATTGTTTTGGTTGTGCTTCAGCTCTGCGTGACTGTGCAGATGAATATGCTTATCATACTGCTCATAAAACATTCACTACTAGACTTAAGAGATATAACCAGTTTAGATGGAAATGATCTCAAGCTGACTATCTGAAGACGTTACTGTATCTTTACCTATTAATAGACACGGTACTTTCTTGAGAATAAATTCCAGCACAGCTACAACAACCATAATCAAAATGAACTTCACAATAGATAATGCTTTACAATAAAAATGGCATCTCTGAAAAGCCAAGCCAATGTTAGTTCTTGTTTCATTATGAGCTCTGTCATGTTCTCTTTTTGCCGGCAGACTCTCCTCTGTTCTGCACTTTTCGGCAACCTTTTTTGTGTGTTGTGAAAACTAACTTATGCCACCACCACACCATACACACGTCAAAGTAGGAGTAACCTTTCTTTATTTACAGATATGACGAGACACACTTGAGTGACGTATGTACGCAATTTCCCACAAAAACCATCCGACAGGTCTAAAATAAACACTTATAATTGGCTTACCAAAGTGAATAATGGTAAGACAAAAACACGTTTTGGAAGAAGGATTGATGATGTATTGACTCATTATGTATTTTTTAAAATCATAATGTATAATTAAAATTTTGTTCATTTTGAACAAAAAAAAGTTACATAGTGTACCTTTATATATTTTGCACACATAGAGATGAAGCAATGAATAAGTGTGTTTTTTTTATATATTTACAGTATAAATCTTTCTGTTTTCCTTTAGTTGTGCTGTCTCAAAGGAAGTTCCTTAATCTTCAGTGCGTCCCGGGATAAGATGGTGCTGATGTGGGATTTGGGTCGAGATACAGAACCCATCCAGGAGTTTTGTGGCCATGAACTCGTAGTTAACGGTGTAGCGGTCTGCCCAGGTGAACAAATGCTCAAATGATAACATGCAACGTGCACAAATTAAACACGATCCTGTACTGTGTTTTTTTTTTTTTTTTGTCTTGTAGATGGCTCAAAGCTGTGCACGGGCTCTCGTGATAACTCCATGTGCCTCTGGGACATTGAGTCGGGAGAATGTCTGCAGAGAAACACCATCTCACGCAACCTGGTTAGAAAAGCCAGTCTTCAAAAATTGACTAATATTTATTTTCTAATATTCTCGTGCATGAATTATCTATTAGTTATACTATGGGGCTGTTGAATGCTTCATTCTGACTGGTTGAGGTGTACAATCATTTTCTAGTAAACGCACAGTTAAAGTAGTTCCAGGCAGGTTTTGATCACATAACAGTTCCATATCACTTCGCCAAATGATTTCAGCATTTTAAAAGGTCCTTACAGCCTATAAAAGCAAATTAATCAAAACCCAGAAAGACCACTGACCAAGCAAATAAATATAACAAACAATCGTATAAAAATGACAAACTATTTCTCATGTTTTTTTTCCGACAGAATTATGTTTCATTGTCTATGGACAGGCTCTCTTTCTCCCGCTCTCTCCAATACAAATGCACACATTCAGCACTGACACACAGACGGAAACATTCACGCGCACGAAAACTTGTTGTTAGCGCTGCCCTGCAACTTAATCAATAACATAGTTCAGCATCTGCAAAACTACATGAGATTTCTCAGTAGCAAGGTAGTAACGTCGCTGTTTTTGAAGCAGTTAAACTTACAGCTTCGCTATTAGTAGAGACGCTGCTGCCGAACACCATTGAGAGGCACAGATGCAGGTAATTCATCTATCAAACTCTCCAATAACTGCATTAGTCTGCATATCAATGGCTCAAGCCTCTGTTACTAGCTCTAAAATGACATTTTGGTATAAGCAACGGAGGTTTGGGATGAGATGTGTAAGAAATAAGATGTGTAAGAAACCCTGACAAATGTCTTGACACATGGTAACCACTTCGCGAACGCATTAACACATGTGCATTATTTGTCTAATAATTGTTAGCCACTGAATATGAATGTGTGTTGTCCTGTTGCCCTCTGTTCAGGTGACACATGTGTGCTGGGTACCAGGAAGCACATCTATTGTCCAAACCTCAGAAGACAAAACTATCAGGTCAGAACATCGTGATATGCCATATGATCCATTACAGTGGTTTACAGTCATTGTTTGCAGAGATGTGTTTCTCTGGAAATATTTACTAAACAAATAACAAGCTGCGCGATTCTTGTATATCATCACAAAATGTAAACTATATCACAAAGCTCTAAATATAAAGCTGGATGTATAGTATATCAATAACCCTTTACAAAAAGTTCCCTTTAGTTAACATAAAATGAACTAATAATGAGCAATTCATTGGTTAGAGTGCTTTTTAATCTTTAGTTAATGTAAGTATTTCAATTTAACTGTTCATTACAAAATACATCTGTGCATTTAAGGTTCCATTAGTTAACTTTAGGTAATGCATTAACTAACAATTAGCAATTCATTAGAGACAGTATTTTTAATCTTTGTTAATTAGTCAGATACAAATGTTCATTGTTAGTTCATGTCCATTAAATATCAACAGATACAACTTTTGATTTGACATGAATCATGTATTAGCAAATGTTGAAATTAACATGAACTAATATTAATAAATGCTTTAGAATTATTTTCATTATACTCATGTAAAGTGATATATAACTATATAGCAAATCTCAACAGCTTGATTTCTTGTATCATCACAAAATGTAAACTCTATTGGGTAACGCATTATTTCAATGGTCCGCTTTAGACATTCTACTAACTATAAGTAACTTTTTTCAACTACATATCAACTGACTCTCATTAGTTTTAGTAGACTGTCTGCTTTATATCTGCTAACTTTATTTTAATGCTCCCTCAACAGACTATAAATAACTTTGCAACTACATGTCAACTTATCCTTCTAATCCTAATTCTAACCTAACAGTCTACTTATACTCTAATGAGTTAGTTGACATGAAGTTGCAAAGTTACTTATAGTTAGTAGAATGTCTAAAGTGGACTATTGAAATAAAGCGTAACCATATATTGTTGCACAGCTCTAATCTGCTAAATACGACTATAATTACAAATCATGATTTTGATGTAGAGCTTCTTTGAAAAAATGTGTGTGTGAAAATATATGCTATATAACTAAAATTGACTTGACTTTGTTCGTGTGTTGATGTTTGTTGTCTGTCTCAGGGTGTGGGATAGTCGTACCTGGCAGGTGACTAACACGTTTCCAGCAAAGCAGTACATTCAGACACACTGTGACATCAGCTCCAACTGTTACCACCTGCTGTCGTCCAGCAACGGTTTCGGTGGGCAGGGTTGCGAGGCCACGGTGAGTGTGTGTGCGGATACTGCCAGGGCACAGCTGTGCATGTGCATACGTTTATCTGTTTGCGTGTTTGTTTATGCGTGTGTGTGTAGCTGTGGGACCTCAGACAGCCCGGCTGTAAGGTGGCCGAATACAGAGGACACCTGCAGACCACAGCGTGCTGCGTGTTTGTGCCTCCCCGTCCCGGGTGTCCTGCCCTCGTGGCGTCCTCATCGTATGACAGCTCAGTCAAAATATGGGATCAGAACACTGCAGGTAACACATACGCACTATTCTGTTTTTTAAACACACAAAGAGGATTAGCCAGTGGGTTAAGACAGCTTCCTGCTTTTGGAAAAAAACGGTCTAAGATGTTTAGGTAGATGAAAAAAAGAAACAGTAAGAGGAAACAAACTCAGCTGGGGAAGCCTATCACCTTTGGCTGGCATATATTTCAATGAATATCAATATTTGAATAAATCCCACATTTTAATTAGCTTAGTAATCATAATAAAAATGATTTAGTATTTAGTTTACATAATGCATTGATGTTCCCTGGTAATTTTATTCTATTTGTATATGTACACATGTCATGTACCTATAAATTTGTCTTTTTTGTTTATATATATACACACATTTATACACATTTGTTTATCTAATTCACATATATCATTATTTTTGTATTCTACTATTTGTGTACCGTTATTGTCTCTGTGTACACAGGAAGCTTCTTCTGTCACCAAAACAAACATAATTGGCAATAAAGTTCTTTCTAAGTATAAAGTCTTAGAATAATTAAATGTATTTAATTACAATACTGTTCAACGGTTTGGGATTATTAAGATGTTTTTTTTTTTTTTTAAGAAATTCACTCTTTTATTTAGCCTGGGAAAACCCAGACAACTTCCGGCAAATTTAGATTTGCTCTGAAAGTTAGTCTGGCAAAGAGCTCATTCAAGCCCATTTCCAATCCGTCGAAATCGAGGCACCAATCAGGGGTGCGTTTCCCGAAAGCATCGTTAGCCAACTATGGTCGCAATTTGGTCGCAATTCCCATTGAACTCTATTGGTAACGACGGAACTTGCGACCATGGTTGGCTAACGATGCTTTCGGGAAACGCACCCCAGAAACGTTGGGGCGGGCTTTACACGATGACGACAGCGCTGGGATTTTGAAGCAGATTTTGTAGCCTACATTACAAAGATGGATGCCGCCGTCGAACATCACTCGTTCGAATCAGCTATCGCGTCTGTTTTAAGCGATTTGAACGTTTCCTTTTTGTTAAAAACCGAGCAAAGAACAACACTCGGTTTCTCCGCCGCTCTGCATACGTCATCTCCTTCATCGCTCGGATTGGTTTTAGGTCTATCCGCGACGTCCGTTGGTGACGCCCCTCTGGAAATGATTTGTCTATGCTGCTTTGCCAGACCATAACTCCGTTACAACTGAGAATGGTCTGGTTTTAACAAGGCTAACTTTTATTCAGAAAGGATGCATTAAATTGACCAAAAGTTACAGTAAAGATATTTAAAATATGTATACATTTCAAATAAATGCTGTTTTGAACTTTTTGAACTTCAGGATTTTCATGACTTGTGGAATTTGAATGCAAACGGTTCCCGGTTTTACAAAATATATATATTTATTAAACAACACTAGCTATGTTTCCATCCATAGTTGCGAATTGAACTTATTCGCAGAATTGGAATGACATATAAATCGTTTGCGAATAAGCAGCGTTTCCATCCCATGTGTTCAAGAGACAAAAAACGTCACTTTCCGGGAAACTTGTGCAAAATATCTGTAATAAAATGGAAGTTGCTGCAATCGGGGAAACCACTGTGGCTCATTTTTTGCGTCTCACAGCGAGCGCAGACGAAACGTTGTCGTGTTATCTTGCATTCGGATGCTGATGTTTTGGGAACGCAACCATGCGAGACGCTTCTGGAAGAGGATTAAAAAAATCATTTTGATGACAGACTTTGGCTCAGGCATTTCAGAATGACCAAACCAACGTTTGACATGCTGTGCGATGAAATTGGTCCACTGGTTAGTCCGCTGTTGAGCCTTTTGTTGAGCTTTCGAGGGATTCATTCAGTAAATGTGTTTTCATCATAGTTTATTCTTATAAGATAAAACATTTATCCATCTCACTATGTGCATTTTTAGAGTTTATGCGTAGAGTTTTAGAGTTTTTTTTTTTTGATATCCCAAATGTGCATAAAAATAGGTGGTTGGAAACATAGCTACTGTCAAAGGCAACAGTAAACGCATTACATTTAGTGTATGTCATGCTTTTTCGGCAACAAATAGCTTTTCCTAAAAACGTCTGGCCGGAATAATCACAAAAAAATGAGTCCGATCCACATGGTTTGATTCTTGTCTCCTCCATATTCTCTCTTCAGCATGTTTGTACACGTTAACGCTGGACGGTTCAGGGCCGTTGGTGTCTCTGGCTCCGTGTGACTCCAGCAGTCTCCTGTGTGCCAGTTTTAACACAGGACTGCACCAGCTGCATCTGGATCAGGCAACAGTGCCCAGCCTCGCTGAAGTGGCTCGCTTCTGACTTCCATCTGGACCACCTGGAAGATAAAACCAACAACTTTAATAACTGGAACTCCTGGAAATCAAAATGTACACTACGTTGACAAAAGTACGTGGACACCCTATTCTAAACAGCTTGGACATTTCAGCTACATCTGTTACTGACAGGAGCATAAAATCAAGCATGCAATCTGCTCGTGTCTAAATGGGAGCAAATCCCTGCATCCATGTTCCAACATTGTCCACATGTTTTTGACCATGTAGTGTATGACCACTTGACTACATGAACCATTAAAGGATGTAAAAACGTAATCAACTTCCCTGAAGGAAAGAGACTGGGTCGCTGTAAAACTCCCTACCGGCAGGGATGATTTACCGTATGGGAATTTTTCTCCATTTCCAAATACAACTATGAAATAAGATAGGTGCTGTTTTGTCTGTCTGTTGTGTGTGTGTGTGTATGTGTGTGTGTGTGTGTGTGTGTGTGTGTGTTAGTTATTGTGTTATTGTGTAAAAGAATATAGGCAATAAAATGCCACTCCACTTCTGCTTGGTTGCTGAATATGCTTGAATATGTTGTTTGAGTCCAGGGGTGTAAAGTACTGGAGTAATTGTACTTCATTATATTCTAAAGAATTATTTTAGGAAATGTATGTTACTTTGACTACTGTTGCAATAGAATACTTGCAAAAATCATACTTCCTACAATTTACTTTAGACCTTCAAAATACAAACATATTTTGCATTATCATGGTTTAAATCATTCTTATTATTTTGCTTATTGAGCTAACAAATAATTTTCTTTTAATTGAAACATCCAAATCCATTCCATTGTGAAATATGATTGGCCACAACAACATGTAACATTGCAAAGAATCTGATTAGTCCATTTGGATTATAACCACCATTTATAGGCAGGATTAACTAAAATGAGATAGGCCAACTTGACTTGAGACAGGTTTCAGAATATACATTTTGCTTTAAGTTCTGTGTGTACTCAGCCTTTGTTTTTAGTAATTAAATTAGAAAAAATAAAAGGGTTGGGTTAGAGTTTGGCTTATATCACAATCTTAAACCTTGCAATCTTGGTAGCACTTTATTTTACGGTCCTGTTACCTATGTGTATACCGGTACTATACTTATTATAGTAAATACAATAACTGGGTACTAACCCTGAACCTACCCTGAAACCTGACCTTAACCCATGTAGTTACCTTACATTACCCAGTACTTTCTTATGTAAGTACACATAAGTGCACATACTGTGTAATGGCGATCTAATATAGACGCTGGGCCAGACCTTGAGTACAATTTCTCTACTTTTACACCCCTGTTGGAGACCTTTTATTTGCACTAGGTAATGGCTAATGGGTCAAAATGGTTCACTGCTAAAGTCATGCAGAAAGTAGCATAGACGGATATAAAATCTCAGGCTCTCTCTCTCTCTTTCTCATACACTCATATTCACAGTTACATATACACAGACTCAGGGTTTGGCATGAGCTAGAAACTGAATCATTTTTTTTACAGAGAAGCTGCTAGTTTACATACACACACATTTAAACATTTATGTAAACATTCAGCTCTTGTATTTCCTGAAGCCGGTTATGAGATGATTTGATCAATTAAATACAAAAACAGTAGATCTCAATATTCTTCCAGAGACATCATGTGGCCAGACAATGGAGAATGTGAAGTCAATGAAAATCAGTGATGCAATGTGTTTTTGTTGTTGTTGTTTAATAATTTTCCTTTAATATTACTACTAGTTCTAGTATAAAAAGAACATTGCAGCTTCTTCCAGCTAATACTGTCTTGCCAACACCGGCCGTGTTGATTCCTTATGGATTTACAAATGTCCTTGTTTTGATTTTTTTTTTTTTTTCACAAACATTCAACCAAAGAGTTTTTGTTTTATGTATTCTTTTATTTGTACATAATGCACTGTGGTCCCAAAGTATTTTTACACTTAAATCACACTTAAAACTGCCTGAATGTCATTGCCTTAGATGCAAAATATCAAATAAATGTTGCTACACTCTTAAAAATTAAGGGTCTTTATTGGCATATATGGTTCCATAAAGAACCTTTGACATCCATGAAAAATGCACACACAAAAAAAAGTATAAAAAAAAACGAAAATATTGTTCGTATATCTTTTATAAAAAAAAAAAAAAAAAAAAAGTAAATTCTATATTAGTACTCAATTTAAGCTTATATTATATTATTATATAATAAAACTAAGTGAAACCTGCTCAACTCTCTGACATGAATAATAATGTCGCAGTTTTCTCTGTTTTCCAGCTGTATTTACACTGTTTTATCGTTGCTTTTGTTTTTTGACATCTGAAGTTCAATTTCTACTCAATCGCACATTTATACTCAAAAATTATCCAACGAATATTACCGTTATTGTGTATTGTGTACCAAGTAAGTATTGCGATCTCTGTGTTCGGGTGGGTTCTACATTACTTCTATTATGTAGATATGTTGTCATATCTACTTTATTGTTTACTTTGTTCCAAGTATAGCATTCACTTCAAAAGCATGTCTTAATTCAGTGGGATAATGTTTAAATAAAATGTACTAAACTTCAACAAAGTAGAAATTACTCAATTAAAACAAAATTGAACAGGCCAAGTTAAAGTAACTTATTTTCTTTGTTGATCTACTTAACTTAATTAAGTACAGTAGATATTTCTTAATTCCATGTGTGAAATTTACTTAAAAGATATTCGTGCAAAATCTTCAATTAAGTAAATTTTACTCATTGTTTTCTCAGTGCTAGAAGGTTCTTTGTGAATGGTTCTTCTGTGGCATTGCTGTGAAAACCCCCTTTTGGCCCTTAATTTTTAAGAGTAGAGCTTTTCTCAAAACAAACTGCATTTCTGAGGCTTTTTTAGTTGGTATTTTATTTAGTGTAACATAACAGGTTGTAGTTCATCACATTGTCTAATGCAATTTCAAGACATTCATGCATTTTAAAGTGTCCAAATACTTTTTCCAACCACTATATAACATTAGCAGTAGCCTATATTGATGAACAAACAGCGGAAAGGACTGTCCATACTGTGTCATGTTGTTTTAATGATACAGAAGGATGTAAAGGTTACACTGATGTGTTTATTTGACTATTATGTAAATTCTGTGGTGTCGAGATATCAATTTGAAGGAAATGTTAATGTATTTGCACATTATATGATAAATTATTTCAGTTCAATGAGAAGAGTCCTTTTTTGGCTCTTTGTTTGCATACAGACACAACAGGACATGGAAGCATCTGTGGAATAATACGTGTAGCTTGATCTTTGCTGTTGATAAAATATGCAATACGAACACGTTTACATTTACAAAACCATATCAAAAGATAGTACCATGATATTTATTAACAGCTCATAATATATTTGATTTGATCGCCTGTCGGTGTATGAATGAGTGTGTGAATGGGTGAATGTGAGGCAAATGTAAAGCGCTTTGGTGGCCATTGGGTCTGTAAAAGCGCTATATAAATGCAGTCCATTTACCATTTGATCATAATCGGTTATTTACAACCCCAGATCCAGAAAAGTTGGGACATTTTGTAAAATGTAATTAAATTTAAGAACATGCGATTTGTTCATTTTCTTTCAACCTAACTAAACTGACAACATTACATAGAAAAGATTTCCAATGGTTTTGCTGAACAACTCGTGTTTTGTAAAAGTAAACAAGTTTTGATTTTGATGGCTGCTTCACACTCACTCCAAAGAGGTTTGGACAGAGGCAAAATAAAAGTGAAAAGCTTATAGAATATCCAAGTTAAACTCTTTTGAAACCGTCCACAATAAGTTGGTGTATTGGTAATAGGGGAGGGTATTGTGATTGAGAGTAAAGCTACTACCAAAAAAGAGGTGCATCAGTTTTTGCTCAAGATCTTGAATTGACAATCCAAGAGTCCGGCACTCTGTAAAGTCTCCTCCAGCACATCCCAGAGACTTTCAATGAACTTAAGCTCTGGACTCAGAGGAGCCGATTCATGTGTGAAAATGATTCTTCATTCTCCCTCATTACCATTCTTTCACAGTTTGAGCCTGGTGAATCTTGACATTGTCATCCTGGAATATGGCCATGATGTGTCTTCATACATGGTTGTTTTAGTAATGAAAAGCCACACACTTCATCAATTAGTGTTAGAAGAACTGTTTCCAACCATATCACATGCTAGAAACATAATAACCACTGCAATAATGATCCAATCATAAACTTTTGCCCATTTAAATCCAAACAGCGACTTTTTTTTTTTTTTTTTTGGCTGGGCAGTGCATTTATACATTTATAAACACTTTTATTATGAATTGATTATGATTATTATTTTAAAATACTAACATTCTGTACTTTTAAACATGTACCAACAACAAAACCATAAATTGTCACCACTGTCATACTGTCACAGTCCTTTTTTTTTTTAAAGGTTATTTAAAAAAAATATGCTCTTCAGTGAAGTAAAGATGGAACGCTTTTCTTCACTTCATTCTTTCAGATCAGGTATGGATTCTCCATTCCCTCTTTGTTTCTCTGTCTTTCAGGTCATGGTTGTAGTTTACTCTGCTGATCTGCCTGGCGGCTGTATTTGACTACGGACTGAGTGTTTCCTCCTCCTGCTGCTCCAGTATTCAAATGCTGCCATTCTTTATAGCACAGTGGAAGAGAGAGACTAAGAAAGAGAGCTGAGCGAAAAGACAGAAAGTGGTAGAGTGACTCTTGGTGTTTTGTTTTTTTGTTTTTCTATGTAAAACATGTCAGGAGAACTGTGGTAGATCTCCAAAGAGAGAAAGAGAGACGCCGACGCATCTCATTCTCTCTGAAAGACAACAAAGACGCAAACTAAAGCCTCGACATCCAGGACACAAAAAAAAAGAAAAAGAAGAGACATCTTTCCAGAAGATGAGTGAGTAGTTGTGAATCTACATATCATGTAATATATGTGTATTTGGTTTCACTTTATTTTGATGGTCCCTTTAGCACATTCTGTTGACTATAAGTAACGTTGCACCTGCATGTGTACTAACTCTCATTAGAGTGTTAGTAGAGTATTAGTAGACTGGTAGGGTTAGAATAAGTTGACATGTACTTGCAAAGTTACTTCACAATAAAGTGACATTAAGATATTAAGCTAATACTTAAATGAGAGTCCGTTGACATGTAGTTGCAAAGTCTAGTCAATAGTGATAGGGACGAGACCGCCTATGCCGAGTCCGAGTCAAGACCGAGTCTTTGAAGGGTCGAGTCCGAGTCGAGACCGAGTCTTTGAAGGGTCGAGTCCGAGTCGAGACCGAGTCTTTAAAGGGTCGAGTCGGAGTCAAGACCGAGTCTTTGAAGGGTCGAGTCGGAGTCAAGACCGAGTCTTTGAAGGGTCGAGTCCGAGTCGAGACCGAGTCTTTGAAGGGTCGAGTCCGAGTCGAGACCGAGTCTTTGAAGGGTCGAGTCCGAGTCAAGACCGAGTCTTTGAAGGGTCGAGTCCGAGTCGAGACCGAGTCTTTGAAGGGTCGAGTCCGAGTCGAGACCGAGTCTTTGAAGGGTCGAGTCCGAGTCGAGACCGAGTCTTTGAAGGAACAAGTCCGAGACGAGTCCGAGAAAGCAGAAATCGGTCTCGAGTCCGAGACCAGACTCGAGTACTACATCACTACAACAGAATGTTTATGGGACCATCAAAATAAAGTGTTACATTGCATTATGTCTACTGTCTTTATACCAAGTAGAACTGGTGATATTAACACGTTAGAGTGGCTCTAATGTTCTACTTGACTTGATAATAGTCAAGCAATATATATGTCTCAAAGCCCGTAGTTTATTAATCAACCATTGAAATGCAATGTCTGTGGCGGTTAGATGAGGTCATGCCGTCAAACTTGTAGACCAACAAGGACGAAATTTACGTGTTACGCATCTTATGCCTTCAGTCATATACTCATAACCTTCATGTATGTTGTCTGAAATCAGATATTCAACATTTGATGATTGAAGATGTCAAGTAAATATATAATTTAAGGTAACAGAGATTGTTTTGGTTTTATAGCGGTTCTTGAATAATGTTATTTCCAGCTAAAGTTAACTTTGATTGATTCACCTCCGTCGAAATGATCAGACTTTAAACGCGAACCTGTGATTAACGCTGACGGCGTTCACATGCACATTCAGAATTGATTCTATAGTTATGTGCTTTTGAAAATATGTGCGCAGGTTTGTAATTCCATACAACCCATGCCTAAACAAACTACTTGTCTTGCCTATAAATTTTGATACAGAATTTTGTTTTATTTTATCACTTCGGGTTACGCGAACCGAAATTCACAACGCTTTATCTGTAGAGTGGTTTAGGGATCCTCCATAGGGAGAGGCTAGTTGGCACTTCAGCACTGCGTTGTCATCGGGTCCAGGCGAAGCTCCTTCGTCAGATCTGGAAACGGCCTGGATCCGGCAGGCTGCGGGAAAACCTCGGGATAAACAAAGACACTAAAATTAGCGTAGATGTCATTCTTCTTATGATGTAACGAGTACATCAAGATTTAAGGGAAGTTTTCCCAGTTCCGGCTGACCTAATCTATGCAGCCTAACATTGAATTATCGAAGTCTATAATGTATTATGTGAATGCTAGGTCAAAGAGATGTGTTTTTAATCTAGCTTTGAGCTGACAGAGTGTGTCTGCTTCCCGGACAATGGTAGGAAGACTGTTCCAAAGTTTTGGTGCTAAATAGGAAAAGGATCTACCGCCAGCAGTCGATTTTGATATTCTAGGTATTATCAACTGGCTGGAAAATGTATAGAATGGAAACTGTCTTACCCCTGGTTTCAAAGATAAGGCTTAAGCCTAGTCCCACACTAAAATGCATGTTTGATTATGAAATGTGTCAGTGCCATTGTTTTGGCTCAAGTATCAAATAACACCAGTAATGTTTTTCTAAGGCCCGTTTATAAAAGCTTCTTAAATGCCCTAATTGAACTAAGGCCTGATCCTGGATTAATCTAAGCCTTGTTTGTGAAACCAGGCGTTAGTCTATTTGTCCGGTCTGTTTGAGCATGTGCAAACCAAACTAAGGCAATAGATTATCTGCTTTCTATTTGCATTTTACACTATGCAGCAATCCTCTCAAATCCATTAGAAACCCACTCAATATATGTCTGTAGAATGAGAAACAAATTGTAGGTAAATGCTGAAACATTCAGCTACATTTAAATGTATCAAATTTGACTATACTGGCATCATAAATGTAAACTATGATCAGATGAGGCTAAGTGGACCTCTAATGAAGTAACCCAATCCGTTCTGCCTGCATTATGGGCGTCAGTAATGGGACACCCTTCTGCTGCTTTGCATATTTTGAGCCGTTCTTTGATGGAGACCTATAATAATTTCCAAGGCAAATCTGTTATTGAGAACAGGTCAGCGTCGGTAGAACAACAAACAAGTCTGTTTACCAATCGTACTACATTCTCTGCAAAAGTTGTAGATGGGGGACGAGAACAAATCTGCAGCTTGGTCAACCTGTGCATGTTATTTCTACTGAAGCTGGTTGAGCATGAAGGCCTTGCTAGCCAGGCCGGTTAAAAAGCAAAGAGATCCAAAACACCATGATGACCATATGCAGGGCTCATAAATCTCAAAAATGTCATTTTATTTGATTTTAACATTTACATTTATGCATTTAGAAGATGTTTTTATCTAAAGCAACTTACAACAGAGGAACATAAGCAATCCACCACAGATTTTATTTGTAGTTTTTTATTTTGCAGACAGTTTTTTCCAAAGCAACTTTCAATTGAATTCAAATGAGCTTTATTGGCACGAATGTGTAAAATAGCACAATATTGCCAACGCAATAGACATATACAAACATATATGTAGATAAATAAAACTGAATAATAAAAAATTAAAAAAGTATATAAAAAATTTTTTACAATTATTTATCCATCTGAGGTTCCACTGGTTGTCCTCATTTCATGGCATGAGGAGATATATTTTCCAGCAATTATTTCACATTTGGGCATTTCTCCCAGTAAATATGGGAGTTTCTGTGTGTCTGATATGGATTCGAATTCAGGGTATATTTGGGAAATGTTTGCAAAGTGTTTTTGTCTTAGTGTATTATATTTGGGGCAACTTACAACGGAAGAACATAAGTAATAATGAGTCAAAGAGTCATAGTGTACAATGCCAGTTTTATTTTTATTTTTTTTATTATTTTGCATTTATGCATTTGACAGGTGCTTGTATCCAAAGAAAATATGCGTAGTGTACAATGGCAGGTTTTTAATTGAATTAAAAAATATAGATTTATTATTTCATTTTAAATGAAATTATGTGGTTTGATTTATTTTATTCATTTAGCAGACGCAGACGCTTTTATCCAAAGCAACTTTCAACAAACGAAAATTAGTAATAATATGTCAAAGAGCCAACAATATTAATAGTGTACAATCCCAGATTTTATTTTATTTTAATTAATTTTCTTTTACAGACCAAAGCATCTTCCAATAGAAGGCCATAAGCAATGTGTCAAAGAGTCAACAATATTCATAGTGTGCAATGGCAGTTTTATTTTTTTTATTTTTATTATTATTATTAATTTCCATTTATGCATTCGACAGGCGCCTTTATGCAAAGGACATATTCATTGTGTATAGGCTATGCCAGTTATTATTATAAAAAAAATTATCCAAAGCGTAGTGCGTAGTGTACAATGCCAGGTGTCTTTGGGTTTTGTTTTTTTACATTCATGCATTTGGCTGGCGCTTTTATCCAAAGCCACTGACAAAAAAAGAGGAACATAAGCAATTAGTCACAGAGACAACAATATTCACAGTGTATAATGCCAGGTTTTTTGTTGTTGTTTTATTTTTCCTGTGGGTGGTGGTAGAAAATACAAGAAAAATCCATGAAACAAAACTTTTCTTGTTCTTCTCCAGACATGCCACATCATCATGGACCTTGAGGATGCCCTTTGACTTCCCTCTCTCTCACCTCCCCCCTCTGTCATGGAGTCTGACCCGAACCACCTCTGTGACCCCTACAAACCAGACGCGGATGACGGCGAGCTGCCCGATCTGGAGTGCGCCATCTGTTTCTGCCAGTTCAACAACATCTTCAACACCCCTAAAGTACTGGAATGCAAACACACCTTCTGCCTGGAGTGTCTAGCGCGGATGAACGTGAAGTCCGCCCAACCCAACACCATCCAGTGCCCGCTGTGCCGTGCCTACACCCCGTTACCAGACCTGGGTCTTCCCAAGCTTGCGAACGACTCCACGGTGCTGTCCTACCTCCCGACCGCCATGCAGCACGTCTACAGCATCCGCTTTAATCGCGACAAAGGCAAACTGCAGGTGAAGAGAGTGCCCAGCTCTGCCCCGGCTCTAACACACACCATCAGCCAGAGCCTAGACGTCGGGAACCCGGCAGGAGAGGTGGGGGGGCGCGCCTCGGCCAGAGAGAGGTCTGTGCTGATCACCATACTGTGCTCGCCACTGTGCAAAGCTTTCCTCATGAGTACGGTGGCCATAATGACGGTCATTCTCATCATTGTGATCATCGTCTTGAAACCTCATTAGATTATGCCAATGCGTCAATGCGGCAGCATAAACAGCAAACAAGCAACATGGCGAGCAATGTTTCCACATGCAAATCAAACTGTCCCTCTCATCATGGAAGGCTACTGCTATATTTGACAGCTGAGAAGGACAGTGGATGTGAAAAAAGTACTGTGAAGCTACCATGGTATTTAGATGGCAGCTTCACTATGGCACACTATGACACTATGGCACCTTATATCTTTTTATTCATGTCCCTTAAAAATACTGTGGTAGACTACTTTACAGTATACCATATGATACTTTGTATCATATGTAAAAATTCTGTTTTTCACCTTTCAAAATATCATATGGTAGGGTCATGCACACTGATAATGTTCCTGACTATGGTACTTTATGTCCAAAATGGTTTTTGACAATGTATGGTTTAAAATGTAAATCATATTTTAAAATGTATGTTATATTATAACTGTTTTTTTCTCTCTCTCACTCTATTTACACTACCATTTGATAAAAAAAACAGTAATATTGTTAAATATTATGACATTTAAAATAACTATTTTCTATTTTAATATCTTTTAAAATGTAATTTATTCCTATGATGGTAAAGCTGAATTTTCAGCATCATTACTCCAGTCTTCAGCGTCACATGATCCTTCAGAAATCATTCTAATATGCTGATTTGATGCTCAAAAAACATTCATTATTATTATCAATCTTGTTGTGTACAATTTTTTTCAGGATTCTTTGATGAATGGAAAGTTCAAAAGAACGGCATTTATTTGAAATAGAATCTTTTGTAGCATTATAAATGTCTTTGCTGTCAATTCTGAACAATTGAATTCATCCTTGATGAATAAAAGTATTAATTTATTTTATTTATTTACCCCCCCAAAAAAAAAAAAAATTATTACTGACACCAAACTTTTGAACGGTAGTGTTTAATGTTACAAAAGCTTTGGATTTCAGATAAATGCTGTTCTTTTTAACTTTGTATTCAACAAAGAATCCTGAAATAAAAATGTGAATAACTGTTTTCAACATTGATAATAATGAGAAATGTTTCTTGAGCATCAAATCAGCAAATTAGAATGATTTCTAAAGGATCATGTGACGTTGAAGACTGAAGTAATGATGCTGAAAATACAACTTTGATCACAGGAATAAATTACACTTTACTTTATGTTCACATAGAAAACACCTGTTTTAAATCGTAAAAATATTTCACAATATTACTGTTTTTGTTTTTTTTGTTTTTTTAAATGCAGCCTTGGTTAGCAGAAGAGACTTCTTTTAAAACATAAAAAATCTTAACGATCCAGACTGCTAGTGTATAAGTTTCAAAACTATACTTTTTATTGACAATCATCCCAGCTAACAAAAAAATATGATCTAATAACGTTTTGCTAACGTTCCCATTAAGGAAAACGTTATTTATGGATGTTCTCTGTATAGAGGTCTTTTCTTGCTTTATTGACTTTTTTTTTTCTGCTCACTGACCTGAACTCCTTATTGAATTAGATTGAACTTTATTGTCGTGATTGCCGTAACATTGAATTATAGCCACACACATTTTCACACAATAAAAAAAAAAAGAAGAAAAAGGAAAAGGAAAAAACAGTACACAATAAGTGCATCCCAATTCGCATACTAATGTACCATTCTATGACGTTTTGTTTTATAGTGCGAGTAGTGTTTTCACACTGAAAATAGAATTTAAAAGGCTACATTTTAAATACCCGGATGACGCACTTGTTGGACACTTCATGGCCTGCGTTTAACTCCACTTTTAGACATACAGTTGTGAACTTCCCTAAGCACTTACCCTCGGGGGAATCCATAGACAGCAAAAGAAAGGGGGAATCCCCGTCGCCATTTTGAAGTTCATTCAACTTCGTCAAGTGGACGAGGGAAGTTTATTTGGACAGACCCTCGACTCCTCGATTTTGACAGAGGGAGTGAGTCTACTCAACACGTAGCCTACACTTCAGGCAGATCATGCTTAATTTACCCACACGAATCTAGTGTATGATATTGGAGTGATTTAACTAAATTTAATACTTGTGGCTAGCTTAAGCTGACTGTTATAGTTTACTGTATTGTTATTATTTCCATTTGTGTAGTTTTTTTATATTTTCTTCAACAGCCCATACAGACTTATAGAATGCTGCGTAAAACAAATTTAATATTTAGTAAATAATAAACATCCATTGCAGATTCCAATTAAGTGATCAAGGGCTTAGTGCGTTCCATTTTAACATTTCAAGGGTTTCGCCACTAGTGGGCACTCGTGCAACGTAAGCAATGACGTACATCTGAGTGAATGAGACAGAGGGAAGTTAGCAAGGGAAGGGCATAAAAATGTAAACTTAAATTTAAACACTGCCAAGGGCTGCGTCTTAAATCGCATACTCTCTTGACTAGGTACTTATTTTGAATAAGTAATTACTTCACAACGAATAAAAAAGTACGTTCTATATAGTATGAATGTGTGTAGTATGACTGTAATTTGGATGTACTACATCCGCCATGTTGTCATGGGCATATAACCCCTCTCCCGTGGCCTCATGGGATATATGCTGGAAGTAGTAGGTCATCCGGACAGCTTTTGCAGACTCTTTTATGAGTACTGTGAATTCGGACATACTTCTTTTGTCACATACTGTTTTTCGCCTACTATAGTAGGGAATTATGCGATTTCGGATTTAGCCATGCACTCAACTGTCTCCGTTTTAATTACATATCGAGGGTGAGGGGCTATCAGGCTCCAACGTTGAATAACAAAATAACCTTTGCTGCGTCCCAATTCACATAGGCTACTATCCGTCCTAAATAGTATTCGAAATTAGAATTAGTGTGTCCCAAATCATAGTATGTTGAAATGAGTATTCCAAACCCAGATGGTCTACTTTTTCCGGTTAGAGTCCGATGTGCAAACATAGACATAATAAATACATAGTATTATTATTATTTGATTTCCATTACACGAGAGTAGATGTTAAAACTTCATGCTGATTTGTACTCGGCTTTCGCCAAGATAAGCAACACTAAGACGTAGCTTTACAGTAAACTATGCTTCATCCATTTATGCTTCTTTCCATGTGGTGATGTGACTCCCCTTCTGTCCGGCGTTAACGACTGCAGTGTACTTGGCGCGTCAGCACACGCGACGGCTGCAACTACAGTGTGGTCTCCCTAGTGGACCAGCACGACAACCGTCTGGATTGAGTCGAGTAGGGGACATCTCTAGGGTCTTCAAGTGGGCACCTTCCGTCCTCAGTGTTTGGTTGACTAGCCCACGACACCTCAAGAGGGCTCGACAGTGACTCTGGCGTCCCAGAGTCACCCCCCTCCGTCCCCCACTCAACTCAGCCCAGCTTACTGACCTCTACATCCCTCCTGCTGCTGAGACCTAACCACAATCTCACAATCTCTCCGCAACCCAACCATACGCGCCAACCCGTTTGACTAAGGCTGTCGAGCCCCACTGGTGCTTTAATATGCAGTTTCAGTGGACAACGGTTCCGTATGGCATACCACCTACCGCAAAACACAATATCTGCCCAACCACCCGTCATTCACGCAATATCCACAGGAACGTAATGACTGTAAATACTATACAACCTATACAAATAAACCAACAGACTCTTCAAGTTTTCAAGAATACTACGAAACCGTAGCGTGGCGGCCTGTACACAGCCAGCTAGAATCTTTCCGTCTCAACCACAGCCAGTTGCTGCTCCTTTCTGCTGCTTCAGATGAGTTCTTTACTGTGCGACGCAACTCTTGGCCGCTGAATCCGACGTCTCTGAGGAACCGGGTTGTAGAGTGTGCCACAAAACCTCGACAACCCACTTCCACCGGATAAACCTGGACTCTCCATCCTCGCTGTTCTGCTTCAGTGCCCAGATGAGCATACCGCAGTTTCTTCCTCTCATGTGCCTCATCTACAGCACCCTCCCATGGCACTGTTAACTCTATCAGTTGAACAATGCGTGCTGATCCAGACCACAAAACAATATCTGGTCATAGGTTAGTGGTGGCAATCTCAGGTGAAAAACCCAGAATCTCAGGGGAAAACCCAAACCCAGATGGTCTACTTTTTCCGGTTAGAGTCCGATGTGCAAACATAGACATAATAAATAGTAATATTTAGTATATTATTTATTTATAAATACTATGTATTTATTATGTCTATGTGTGCAAATCCGTGCACACTCGAGGTAATATTGCCCACAACCCATTGGGCGTTGAACTGGGGTTCGATTAGAACAACAAACACGAATAAAAGGTGATTAAAAACTACAAACACGGCGGATGTGCGTTTTCGACGATTAAATTCAAAGGTTTAGATAAAGGGGTTTGAGTAACCTGACGAAAAGATATTTATTCAATCATCCACATTATGTTTCATCAGCAACAGCATTGTGAACTTTTGTAAAGAATAAGATACGTTTGTTCATTAACTTGTAAATGCATCATTATGGAAATTGAAAACATAAAGAGAGTTCTCTGACCCAGTGCTGGCAGATCAGCGTGCCCGCATATTTCTCTCCGAAACAGTAGGAAATTAAATTAAATTAAATGTGGAGGATTCCAGATTGTTCTGTGACAATATTGACAGGGCAGTTTAAACGGTGACAGAATGCACTAATTAAGCGACAGCTGCATGACATATAGTAGGCCAGTATTTTCTATGCCACACACTCAAAACTGTATTTTTCTTCACCCAAAAAAACTAGGCTACACTTTTAAAGGGGACCTATTATGCAAAATTCACTTTTGTAAGGTGTTTGGACATAAATGTGTGTTGGCAGTGTGTGTACACAACCGTACCCTACAGTGATAATAATCCACTCACTTCTTTTTTTTTAAATCCCCATAAATCATAAGCAGTGTCTCCTAACGACCTGTTTTCAGAATGTGGCTTTAGTGACGTCACTAAAGCCACAGGCCCCGCCCACGAGTGTTGACAGACATTGCCGTTTTAGACCCGCTCTGATCGAGTTCACAGCAAGTTG